CCAATACTCCTCAAATTGTTCTGCACAATACAAACAGAAGAAATATTGTCAAATTCTTTTTATGAGGCCACAATTACCCTGATACCAAAACCAAAGAAATGAAAAAAAAAAAAAAAGAAAGAAAAGAAAAAGAATTACAGGCCAATCTCCTTCATGAACATTGAGGCAAAATTACTCAATAAAATACTGGCAAACCAAATCCAAGAACACATCAAAAAAATCATACACCATGATCAAGTAGGTGTCATACTAGAGATGTATAGTTCAACATAGGAAAGCCTGTCAATGTAATCCACCATATAAACAAATTGAAAGAAAAAAAATGATCATCTCATTCTTTTTTTTTTTTTTTTTTTTTTTTTTTTGGTTTTTCGAGACAGGGTTTCTCTGTGGCTTTGGAGGCTGTCCTGGAACAGCTGTCCTGGAGCTCTTGTAGTCCAGGCTGCCCTCCAACTCACAGAGATCCGCCTGCCTCTGCCTCCCAAGTGCTGGGATTAAAGGCGTGCGCCACCAACGCCCGGCTTGATCATCTCATTCTCGATGCTGAAAAAACCTTTGACAAAATCCTACACCCCTTCATAATATGATAACAGCCAATATCAAATTAAATGGAGAGACACTCAAAGTGATTCCATTAAAATCAGGAACAAAACAAGGCTGTCTACTCTTTCATATCTATTCAATATAGTACTTATTAAAGTTCTAGCTAGAGCAATAAGACAACAAAAGGAGACCAAGGGGATACAAATTGAAAAAGAAAAAGTCAAGCTTTCACTATTTGCAGATGATATGATAGTATACATAAGTGACCCCAAAAATTCTACCAGGAAACTCCTACAGTTGATAAACACCTTCAACAAAGTGGCAGGATACAAGATTAACTAAAAAAAAATCAGAAGCCCTTTTATATACAAGTGATAAATGGGCCGAGAAAGAAAATAGGAGAACAACACCCTTTACAAAGCCACAAATTATATAAAATATCTTGGGGGTAACTCTAACCAAGTAAGTGAAAGGCCTATATGACAAGAAATTGAAGTCTTTGTAGAAAGAAATTGGGGAAGACATCAGAAAATGGAAAGATCTCCCATCCATGTTCATGGATCAGTAGGATTAACATAGTAAAAATGAGCCGGGCATTGGTGGCGCACGCCTTTAATCCCAGCACTTGGGAGGCAGAGGCAGGCGGATCTCTGTGAGTTCGAGGCCAGCCTGGTCTACAAGAGCTAGTTCCAGGACAGTCTCCAAAGCCATAGAGAAACCCTGTCTCGAAAAACCAAAAAAAAAAAATAGTAAAAATGACAATCTTACCAAAAGCAATCTACAGATTCAATGCAGTCCCCATCTAAATCCCAACACAATTCTTTACAGACTTCGAAAGAACAATACTCAGCTTCCAATGGAAAAACAAAAACCCAGGATAGCTAAAATAATCCTGTACAATAAAGGAACTTCTGGAGGTATCACCATCCCTGACTTCAAGCTCTAGTATAGAGCCACAGTAATAAAAACAGCTTAGTATTGGCATAAAAACTGACATGTAGACCAATGGAATCAAATTGAAGACCCTGACATAAATCCACACACTATGAACACCTGATTTTTGACAAGCAAAAAAATACACAATGAAAGAAAGAAAACATCTTCAACAAATAGTGCTGGCATAACTGGATGTCTGCATGTAGAAGAAAGTAAATAGATCCATATCTATTGTTCTGCCCAAAACTCAAGTCCAAGTGGATCAAAGACCTCAATATAAATCCATCCACACTGAACCTTATTGAACACATAGGTACAGGAGACCACTTCCTAAATAGAATACCAGTAGCACTGACACTGTGAGCAACAATTAATAAGTGGAACCTCCTGTAACTGAGAAGCTTCTGTAAGTTGAAGGACACTGTCAATAAGACAAAACTGCAACCTGTATAATGGGAAAAGATCTTCACCAACCCCACATCTGACAGAGGACTGATGCCCAAAATATATAAAGAACTCAAGAAACTAGACTTCAAAAAACCAAATATTCCCATTAAAAATGGGGTACAGGCCAGGCAGTAGTGGTGCACACCTTTAATTCCAGCACTTGGGAGGCAGAGGCAAGAGGATCTCTGTGAGTTCAAGGCCAGTCTGGTCTACAAAGCTTCACAGAGAAACCTTGTTTCAGAAAAAAAAAATGGGTACAGATCTAAACAGAGAACTGTCAAAAGAAGAATCTCAAATGGCCAAAAGACATTAAGGAATTGTTTATCATCCTTAGCTATCAGAGAAATGCAAACCAAAATGACTCTGAGATACCAGCTTATACCTGTCAGAATGGCTTAAAAAGGGCTGGAGAGATGGCTCAGAAGTTAAGAGCACTGTTTGCTCTTCCAGAGGTCGTGAGTTCAATTCCTAGCAACCACATGGTGGCTCACAACCATCTGTAATGCGGCCTGGTGCCCTCTTCTGGCCCAGGCAGAACACTGTATACATAATAAATAAATAATTAAAAAAAAAAGAATGGCTTAAAAAAAAACCCACTAATGACAGCCTGTGTTGGAGAGGTTGTGTAGTAAGGGGAACATTCCTCCACCTCTGGTGGGAGTGCAAACTTATACCGATACTTTGGAAATCAGTATAGCAGTTTCTAAGAATATTTGTAATCAACCTCAAGACTCAGTGATACTACCTTTGGGCATATACCCAAAGGATGTTCTAGCATACTACAAGGACACTTGCTCAACTATGTTCATAACAGCATTATTCATAATTGCCGGAACCTGGAAATAACCTAGATGCCCTTAACTGTATAATTGATAAAGAAAATGTGATATAACTACACAATGGAGTATTACTCAGTGGTAGAAAACAATGACATCATGAAATTTGCAGGCAAATGGATAGAACTAGAAAAAAAATCATCCTAAGTGAGGTAACCCTACTCACTCATAAGTGGTATTAGATGTAAATCAAAGGATAACCAGACTACAATCCTCAACTCCAGAGAAGCCTGGTAACAAAGAGGACCTTAAAAGGGATGCATGGATCTCCCTGGGAAGAGGAAAGAGATGAGGTGTCCTGGGTAAACTGGGGAAGGGGGATAGAGGGAGAGGGAATGGAGGAATGGGAACATGAGAGATCAGGATGATCCAGTTAGGGGCCAGACAGAGTGGGAGAGTAATGAAAGAGATGTCTTTTTAAGAGGGGGGATTCAAGACAGGATTTCTCTGTATTGTTTTGGAGGCTGTCCTGGAACTCACTCTGTAGACCAGGCTGGCCTCGAACTCACAGAGATCTGCCTGCCTCTGCCTCTGCCTTCCAAGTGCTGGGATTAAAGGCATGCGCCACCAACGCCCAGCAAAAGAGATATCTTGATAGAGGGGGTCATTATGGGGTTTGGGAGAAACCTAGTGCCAGGGAAACTCCAGAAACCTACAAGGATGACCCCAGCTAAGACTCCTAGCAATAGTGGAGAGGGTGCCTGAATTGGCACCCTGTAATCAGGTTGGTGACTACCCTAATTGTTATCACAGAGCCTTCATCCAGTAACTGATAGAAGCAGATGCAGAGATCCACAGTCGAGCACTGGGCTGAGCTCCAGGAGTCCAGTTGAAGAGAGGGAGGTGGTTTTTTTTTTTTTTTTGGTTTTTTTTTTTTCAAGACAGGGTTTCTCTGTATTGTTTTGGAGGCGAGGGAGGAGTTTTTATATGAGCCAGGGGAAGTTCAAAATCAAGTCACAGGCCGGGTGGTGGTGGCACACGCCTTTAATCCCAGCACTCGGAAGGCTGAGGCAGGCGGATCTCTGTGAGTTCGAGGCCAGGCTAGACCGACAGCCTCCAAAACAATACAGAGAAACCCTGTCTCGTAAAACCAAAAAAAAAAAAAAAAAAAAAAATCAAGTCACAGAAACCCACAGAGACAGCTGACCTGAGCTTGTGGGAGCTCATGGTCTCTGGACTGACAGGTAGGGAGATGGCATGGGACTGATCTAGGCTCTCTGAACGTGGGTGACAGTTGTATAAGTTGGTCTTTTGTGGAGCCCTAGCAGTGGGACCAGGACCTATCCCTGATCCATGAACTGGCTCTTTGGAACCTATTCCCTATGGTGGGATGCCTTGTTCTGCCTTGATGCAAGGGGGAGGAGCTTGATACTACATCAACTTGATGTGCCATGCTTTGTTGACTCCCATGGGAGGCCTTACCCTTTCTGAATGGAGATGGCGGAGGAGTGGATGGGGGAAGCAGGCTAGAAAGGAGGTGGGAGGAGAGAATGGGAGAATGGGAGGAGAGGAGGGAGAGGAAATGTAGTATGTAAAATAAAATTTAAAAGTTGAAAAAAATAAGAGTAATAGGCCAGTGGTGGTGGTGGTGGCTCACCCCTTTGATCCCAAGACCCAGGAGGCAGAGGCAGGCAGTCTTAGTTTCAAGCCAGCCTGATCTACAGAGAGTTCCAGGTCAACCAGAGCAGAGAGTTCCAGGTCAACCAGAGCAACACAAAGAAACTCTGTGTCAAAAACTAATGAGAGAGAGAGAGAGAGAGAGAGAGAGAGAGAGAGAGAGAGAGAGAGAGAGAGAGAGAGCAGAGAGACAGAGAGAGGGAGACAGAGAGAGAGACAGAGAGACAGAGAGAGGGAGACAGAGAGAGAGACAGAGAGACAGAGAGAGAGAGAGAGACAGAGAGAGAGACAGAGAGAGAGAGAAAGAGAAAGAGAGAGAGGAAGAAAGCTGCTAAAGATTTGGGCCCCGCTGGGCGTTGGTGGCGCAAGCCTTTAATCCCAGCACTACTCGGGAGGCAGAGGCAGGTGGATCTCTGTAAGTTCGAGACCAGCCTGGACTACCAAGTGAGTTCCAGGACAGCCTCCAAAGCCACAGAGAAACCATGTCTTGAAAAACCAAAAAGAAAAAAAAAAAAAAAAGATTTGAGCCCCTGACATCAACTTGAGGAAATCACTGCTTCTTCAGAGGGAGTCTATTGTGCCACAGAGAACAGGAACAAAATCAGATGAAAGGCTCTTACATGTGGATATTCTTGCTTTTGGGCTTTATTAGGAAACAAGCTATTAAGAGGTAATTTTTATTTGTATTTTTATAATGTTCAGATTTAAAAGTTCCGGGGATCTAGGATATCAAGTTCAGTGTAGAGTCACAGTCTGGTACTGGCCAATATCGAAGTCTGGGAAGTATATAAGGAATTCTCTGACCCTGCTTCTGTTCCTTCTGTCGAGTTCTCATTGCTGTTAGACACAACTTGCACACGACTCAGGACAACAAAAATAAGGCTTGCAACTGTCATGCATATTCCAACAGAGAAAGCTACTTGGTGGTAGGAGTTGTAGATAATGAGAATGAGTCCTAGAGTCAGAACCAGCACTCCCATGATGGAGATCAGTGCATGCCACCAGTAACATTCTGAGAAGGATAGACAGCAAACAGTCTTCTCCCTTCGTAGGAGGCTGCTAGCAACATCCATTTGAAGATCTTGGTACATTGTGCTTATTTTCCTGCAGTGATTAAGGGGGAAAAGATTACAGGTCAGTAACAGTGAAGTTTATGGAGAACTGTGTGGTTGGGTATGCTTGTAACCCAGTACTTGAGGCTGAGGCAGGAAGATCCAGAATTCCCAGCAAGTTCATAGTGAACTCAGGGCCAAGGCTTATTCTGTGAGGATGGACTTTAAGGATGATCTACACAAGTCACTAAGAGCGTCTTTTAAGGGGACTGGAGAGATGGCTCAGTGGTTAAGAGCACTTGTTGCACTCACAGGGAACCAGGTTCAATTCTCAGCACACCCACTGTGACTCATAATCCTCTGTAACTCCAGTCTCAGTAGATTTAATTCCCTCTATCCAAGGTCACCAGGCACACAGATGATTCAATACATGCAGGCAAAACACTTATACACAAAACACTTACACAAAAACATAAGTGAATCTTTTTTTTTTTTTGGTTTTTATGAGACAGGGTCTCTCTGTATTGTTTTGGAAGCTATCGGTCCAGCCCGGCCTCAAACTCACAGAGATCCGCCTGCCTCTGCCTCCCGAGTGCTGGGATTAAAGGCGTGCGCCACCACTGCCCGGCAAACATAAGTGAATCTTAAAAAATAGTATTTTAGGCTAGGCATAGTGGAGTACACCTTTAATCCCAGAGTCTGGAAGACAGAGACACGAAGGTCTCTGTGAGTTCACTCCTAGCCTGGTCTACATAGTGAGAACCAGGATAGCCAAGGCTATGTAGAGACCCTGTCTCAAAGATAGTTCCTTCTAAGAAGGTCAGACTTGAATACTTCTTATAGTGAGGAGGGTTGGGTGGTAGGGGTGGGGTAGGAAGGAAACTAATGGCTTCACACATGTAGGAAAGCCCTCTACTCCAGAGCCACACCCACAGTGATTCTCAGTGGTAATAAAAGGTACCATGTATCCAGGTGTGTCGGCACACGCCTTTCATCCCTGTACTCCTGAGGCAAAGAGAGGTGAACTTCTGTGAGGGCAGCCTGAACTAATATAGAGTTCTAGAACAGCTAGAGTTACCTGGTGAGATCCTGTCTCGTTGAAAAAACAAAAAGATATTGTTTATAGGTGTTACCATGTCATTTCAAGACATCTGGAAAGGCTACTAAGAACAGAATACAAGACTCAGGGCACTGAAATAAGCAGGTTCTGTTTCTCCCTGAAGTGTTTTTGTTATGCTTCATACAAGAAGTGAAATTCAAAGATGAATGTAGACTAGATTGAAGTGATGGTGTGAGTCTGTAATCCCAGAATTTGAAAGCTGAGGCAGGAGACGTTTGAATTCCAGGCTAAACGCAGTACATGGTAAAACATTTCTCAAACAAATAAAATCAATAAAAAAAGCAAAAACAAAAGCCCTCTAAACACACACACACACACACAAAAAAAAAGAAGAAGAAAAAAAAACCACACAGAAAAACAACCTAGGTGGTTGGGAGGCAGAGGCAGGCAGGTTTCTGAGTTCAAAACCAGCCTGGTATACAGATCCAGTTCCAGGATAGCCAGGGCTTCTTGGTGAGATCCTGTCTCAAAAACCAAAACCAAAAGAAAAAAAAAAAAAAGGAAACAATCCAGTTTTGTTTTTTTTAAGGTATACTTATTTTCTGTGTGAGTGTTTTGTTGTTTGCATGCATTTTGTAACACTGCATGCATGCATGCTTGGTGCCTTCAGAGTCCAGAAGAGGGCATCAGATCCCCTAGAATAGGAGTTATGGAAGGTTGTGTTGTGAGCAGCCATGTGGATGCTGGGAATAGAACCAGGGTCCTCTAAAAGAACAAATGTTCCTAACCATTGAGCCATCTCTTCCGTCCCTGAAATTCAGAATCTTAGTATCTTCAGAAAAATAGCCCAGGGATATGGATAAGAACACTACTTCCCACCAGAAGTGCCAGTTGTAACTTAATATGAATAAATGCATAAAACTGTGAGTTTAGCAGGTTATCTTCAAAGCACCTTCAGGCAATGCCAGCAGAGTACATATAATTTTATGAAAGAAATGACTTTTCTCACCTGGTACAACGGTAGCTTTTAAATAAGTCAACAAAGGCCAGAAATTGTTTCTTCCAAAGCAGCAAGGACTTTCAAGAGGAAGCATCCTTCAGTGGAGAGTCAGCATGGCTGTACCTCGTTTTTATGTATTAGGCCCTTGATTGCAGAATTGAAGCAACATGGACTCTCGAGGGGGGAGGGGGATCCATGCAACAGAGTTATTAAACTAATATGAATGCCTCAACTGTTCTGAACAAAATCCTAACAAGGAGTAAACACATAGGGCCCTCATGTAAAAGGTAATCTAAAATTGGAAGAGGTTTTACACTGATGGCTTTTTTTTTTTTTTTCTCTCGAGACAGGGTTTCTCTGTGGCTTTGGAGGCTGTCCTGGAACTCGCTCTGTAGACCAGGCTGGCCTCGAACTCACAGAGATCCACCTGCCTCTGCCTCGCGAGTGCTGGGATTAAAGGCGTGCGCCACCAACGACCAGCACACTGATGGCTTTTATGCTTGTTTTCACCTGCTGAGAATTTGGTAAAGATGTTGTTAATTTTGATTTTTAGTTTTTTCCAGACAGGGTTTCACTCTGTAGCCTCAAACTTACAAAGATCACCTGCCTTTGCCTCCAGGCTGGGACTAAAGGCTAAAGGCACACCTTGCCTGGCTTTTTAAAACTTTTTTTTTTTTTTTTGGTTTTTCGAGACAGGGTTTCTCTGTGGCTTTGGAGGCTGTTCTGGAACTCGCTTGGTAGTCCAGGCTGGTCTCAAACTCACAGAGATCCGCCTGCCTCTGCCTCCCGAGTGCTGGGATTAAAGGCATGCGCCACCAACGCCCGGCTAAAAAAATATTTTTATAAAGATAGTGTCTCTGTAGCCCTGGCTGTCCTGGAACTCTTGGAACTTGCTATCCTGGAGTTCAAGAAATCTTCCTTCCTCTACTTCCTGAGTGCTGGAATTAAATGCCTGCATCATGATTCCCAGCCCAGGATGTTATTAACAAGCATAGGTGATTTGTAGCTAACACACAACTTCATCATTTCCCATATCTGAGCATAGGAGTAATCGGGCAGCTCCCAACTCTGCCAGGCTGTTGCTGGGATTACAGGTGTGTGTCATCATGGAAGGATGTGTAACTAAAGACCATTTCTTTTTTCTTTTGGTTTTTTGAGACAGGGTTTCTCTGTATTGTTTTGGAGGCTGTCCTGGAACTCGCTTTGTAGACGAGGCTGGCCTCAAACTCACAGAGATCCGCCTGCCTCTGTGTCCCAAGTGCTGGGATTAAAGGCGTGTGCCACCAACACCCGGCTCTAAAGGCCATTTCTAAACAAGGTGTTGTGTATGCTAATTATTCAACCACAATTTTGTTACTATTAACTAGAAATTTTATCAAACGGTAAATATTTTAAACCTTTTAGAACAGACATCAAAAATTGAGTTTTGCCGGGCGGTGGTGGCGCACGCCTTTAATCCCAGCACTCGGGAGGCAGAGGCAGGTGGATCTCTGTGAGTTCCAGGCTGGGCTGGACTGATAGCCTCCGAAACAATACAGAGAAACCCTGTCTCGTAAAAACCAAAAAAAAAAAAAAAAAAAAAAATTGAGTTTCAACTCTTAAAAATTCCATACTTGATCGGTTGGTGGTGGCTCATGCCTTAACCCTACCACTCCCCACCCCCACTTTTTGAAACAGCTTTATGATGTAGCTTGGGCTGTCCCTGAAGACCTGTTGACCACGTTAGCCTTTAACTCAGAGATCCGCCTGCTTCTGCCTTGTGAGTGCTGGGATTAAAAGGTGTGCCTGGCTCAACAGAACCATTTAAATTAAAACTATTCTGCCAGATGATGATGGCACATGCTTTAAATGGGTGAGAACAGGAAGGCTTAAGATATATAATTTCTTAGCCGGGCGTTGGTGGCGCACGCCTTTAATCCCAGCACTTGGGAGGCAGAGGCAGGCGGATCTCTGTGAGTTCGAGGCCAGCCTGGTCTACAGAGCTAGTTCCAGGACAGCCTCCAAAGCCACAGAGAAACCCTGTCTCGAAACCCCCCCAAAAAAAGTTCCAATCACAGAACTCATTTAGTGCCCTTGTAAGTGCATCAATATTCTTCTGACAGCATCTCCTATGAAGCAAGGCTGGTTCCCTGACTCCCAAGATTAAACAAATGAGGTACTACACAGAGGTACTCCCTTTGAAGTATGTGCTAACTAACCAAATCATTTTGTTTTCCAAGTTTATACATCCACTGTGCACATTTCTGTGCTGGTGCCTGAGACCAAAAGGCCTTGGATCCCTGGAGTTACACTTGTGAGCCATCGTGAGGCTGCTGGGAAGTGAACTTTGGGTTCTCTGGAGAGTAGCCAGTGTTCCTAACCTGAGCTATCATCTAAGGCCTGCTGTAGCTGATCCTTATGTGTCAATCCCCTTTCTGGCTACTTAGAATGTTTGCACCAGCTAGTTTAACAGTGCAAGTGACTAAATTTTCCCATGTAGACAGAATGCTGCTGCTACATGTCTTCAAATTAGTCAGGTGAGATGTGAAACACCACAGTACAATGCCATTTGCCAGTAGCAGATGTTATACTTTAGTTTAAAAAACCACAAACATACAGAGGCACTCTTATCAACAAATACACTGAACAAAAAAATATTTTTAATTTTTATTTTTTTTGCCTCAAACCACTGATTTTTACAAATAGAAAAATTGAGAATCACCCCTGGAAACTTCACAAAAACATTTAAGTATAGGACTTACTGCTGAAAAGGGCTGTAGTAGGGTAGGTACCCAAGTACCTTTTGTTTTATATGCAGGTGTGTGGTATTTTTCAAAGTTCTGGGTACTGAGGCCAAGCCTTTAGCGACAGATTCTTGCTGAAGTTCATGACTCCCTGGTCTTGGCTTCTTGAGTGTTAGGAATGTAGGTGTGCACAACCAATCTTGGTCAAGTTTGTCTGTCACCAAGACAACATCTCACTATGTAGTCTGGCTGGCCTCAAACCCACACAAATCTGCCTATATATGTCCCACAGTGTGTGCAACCACAACCTGCCTAAGTATTCTTGAAAAGCTCTTATAGTTCCTTCAGGCTGAGGAACCTGATTTTAGTTTGAGTGGGACACTTGGGGCTTTTTGTTTTTGGGTGTGTTGGAAGCTTTCCTGGGAGTAAAGAATTTGGCTCCCGACTTTCTGACTTCCTGCACATTTTTTTTTTGTTTCTTCCCTGAGGTCACAGGCTCTAAAGCTCCTGGGATCTCTGTAGCTGGTAAGGCCTTCCTTTTCTTGCCCTGAGGTGTATTTGGATCAGGTTTCTTTTTTGGAGATTTCCCCCCTGTGACATTTTCTTGCATCTAAAAAAAGAAAAGAAAAGATGAAGTCTAGAATAACAAAGAGCAAGATTTCACAATCAAATTTAAGGAGCCATAATTTTGATTATAACCCTATAATTGTAACCTTGGGATGGTGAAATGAGGAACGGCCCTTTCTACTGTCAGACATTTGTTTTTTGTCATCTTTTTGAGACAGCGCTCACCTGGCTGGAATTTATTATGTAATTCAGGCTGGGTTCAGCTTCTGCTTTAGCCTGGGATTATAGGAACATACATTAGTCTTTGGGATTAAAGTGTGCTCCATCACTGCCCAGCCAGTTTTTGTTTTAGAATATACCCCTACTTCTATATATAAATATATTTTTTAAAGGTTGCCTGGTATGGTGACACAAATATATAATCCTAATACTTTAGAGGGAATCCAGGGCTAACACAGCAAGACCCTGTCTCTAAAACAAAAACATTACACTAATATGTTGTACTGTGCTGGCAGCAGACACATCCTGTGCACCAAGAGGCCAAATGGACCAACTGCTTGAAGTACTTGCTACAATGAATACCCAATATGCGAGACATCCTTCTAGAAGATACCCTGCTATAAAATAACAGGCCTTTTACATTACTCAAGGTGTTCTAGGATAAAGTAAGTAAGTCAGTGCCTGCCTTCCTGATTCCCAGAGCTAACTCTAAAGCTTTTGTCACTTGGCACTTTTTGCCCCATACATACCAGCTACTAACACTAATAAAATACCTTCATGTTTTCTTTATTTGGTATTTCTCCTATTGGTACCAGTTGCGGAATTGCTTCTTCACACTCATCTGTCCCTTCAGGTTGTGCTTTTACTTTGCTGGTCTTTTTCTTCTGGGGTCTTGGGGTCTTGACTGGAGAATTGCTGGTTTCACTTGCTAAGTCACCTTGAGTTTGAAGAGATGCATCCTTATTGGACATTTTCCTTAACCCTTTGCTTTTCTTCAACTTTTCTTTTTCATGCTTCATTTTTTTCTTTAGTTCCTACCAAAATACCAGATAAAAGTTTAGCAGGAAAAACAGTCACAGAAAACAGATTGAGAGGTGCAGCTCTTATTATTCAAAAGCTCCCTAAAATATCCTTGACCCATGCAAACAGAATGCCCCATTTCTAACCACTTAAACATCAGTTCTACTTGTTTGGGGTGACAGGTGTTTCAATGTGTAGCCCAAGCTGGTGGGCCTTGAACTTGAATCTCTTCTACCTATCTGCTACACAATGAAATTACTGACATGCTCTATCACAACTGGCTATCTACAGTGATAAAGAACTGGGATGTTTCAACCGACAGTTTGAGTCACCTAAACAGGGACTCTCAACTGATAAAGTGTCTTGATTCCTTTAATGGATATGGGAAGACCCACCCTAAATTTAGGCAGCACATTCTAGTTGCAGCCCAGACAATACAGAGCATGTATGTCAGGAGGAGGAAGAAAGGTCATTTGCAGAGCTGTTTCACCCAGTTGTTGCTCTCAAACTCTACAGGTTTCAGTCACCAGATTGGGAGTACTAAGGAATGATGCAGAGTGACCCAAGCTAAATGTGAGATAATTTGTTAATATTTCAGTATTAGCTGATTATGGGTAGAGACAACCACCTGCAGTATCATAAGGCTTGCCCTTTATATTGTTAGACTGTGCTTACAAGTTTTAAAGAATTAAAGACCACTAGATGAAGACCCAGGCATGGTGATGAACACCTTTGATCCCAGTGCTACCATAGGCAGACAGATTTCTGTGAGGTTTTTTTTTTTTTTTTTTTTTTTTTTTGGTTTTTTCGAGACAGGGTTTCTCTGTGGCTTTGGAGGCTGTCCTGGAACTCATTTTGTAGACCAGGCTGGCCTCGAACTCACAGAGATCCGCCTGCCTCTGCCTCCCGAGTGCTGGGATTAAAGGCGTGCGCCACCAACGCCCGGCTTCTGTGAGTTTAAGGTCAATCTGGTCTACATAGTGAGACTGTCTCAAAAGAAAAAGAAAGAAAGAAAAAAAAAGGCTTTTAATCCCAGCACCTGGGATGCAGAGGTAGGTGGATTTCAGTGAGTTCGAGGCCAGCCTGGTCTACAAAGTGAGTTCCAGTTCAGCTAGGACTGCTACGGAGAAACCCTGCCTCAAAACACCAAAACACCCCCCCCCCAAAAAAAGCCTATGAGGCTGGAGTGATGGCTCAGTGGTTAAGAAAACTAGCTGGTTTTACTCAGAGGTCGAGTTCAATTTCCAAGCAACCACCCAGTAATAACATCTGGTGCCCTCTTCTGAACTGCAAGGATCATGCAGACAGCACTGTATACATAACACAAACAGGCGCGCGCACGCACATATACACACACAGAGAGAGAGAGAGAGAGAGAGAGAGAACCAAGAGATGGCTCAGTGGCTAAAGAGCATTTGTTCTTTTTTTTTTTAAAGATTTATTTATTTATTACATATACATGCCAGAAGAGGGCACCAGATTGAATTATAGATGGTTGTGAGCCACCATGTGGTTGCTGGGAATTGAACTCAGGACCTCTGGTAGAGCAGTCAGTGCGCTTAACCTCTGAGCCATCTTTCCAACCCCCAAGAGCATTTGTTCTTGAGACTTGGTTTGATTCCCAGAATCAACATGGTGGCTCACAATAACTCATCGGAGAATAATTCCAGGGACTTCCACACAGACATGGTATAGAATACTCAGAACTTAGTGTTTTTCTGTCAATACAGAGGCTTCACTTAACTTGTTGCAGTTTTAACCAGCAAATGCAGCTCTGCAGTTACAAAGTCTAGGCCTGCAGGAGTTAATGTTGCTGCCACCAAATATAGCTTTGGGAGTCAAAGGCTGGGGTAAAAACCTGATAGCTCAGAGAGGTGGAGTAGCTCTTTGCTGGCAGCATCTCTTAAAAGTGTACTTCCACTTTACCAAAAGAACCCACACTCCACTAAGCCCCTCCCTACTACTTTCCTGTGTGTGTCTATTGTTTCACAGACAACCTATGACTCTGTCAACTAGTTGCTAACTTGGCCTCCTGAGCCAAAGTTGATTTTATTTAGTTAAGCTGGGCAGTGTTAGCGCACATCTTTAACCCCAGCTCTCAGGAGGCAGAAGCAGGTGGATCTCTGTAAGTTTGAAACCATCCTGGTCTACAAGAGCTACTTCCAGGACAGCCTCCAAAAGTCACAGAGAAATCCTGTCTGGAAAACAAAAAGAAACAAACAAAAACAACAACAAAAAACTTAAATGTAATTAAAACAGGGCCTTATAATATAGCACAACTGAACTTGCTGTGACCAGAACAACTTGCTAAGTTCAGAACACTCTGAACTTCCTATGATCTGTCCCTTGGCTACATTTTGATGATTATATTTTGAGACAGGGATTCTGTGTAGCCCTGGCTGTCCTGGAATTAACATAGTAGATAGGCTAGCCTTGATGTCAGAGAGATCTGTCTACCTCTCCCTCCTAAGTGCTGGCATTAAAAGCATGCCTCACAACACCCGGCTCACACTTAATATTTTAACTTATACTAACCTTTCTCCTCATGCTACGGAAGGATGAGGTGTTTTCATCCTGACACGTGACAAACGAGGAAAAGATGGGAAGGGAAACGGACTTGTCAGTTTTCAGGAACAAGAGTTTCACACTTGGCCATTTCTGAAACAAAGAAATAATGCCATGTATACATATACCGCTGCTGCTTCTTTTAAACACTAAAGACTCATGCACTTGCCATACAGTACCTCTGGTAGTTTTTCTGAAAGCACTTCTGCAACAGCCAGGATATTTTCAACGATGTGCTGAGTCTCCATTCCAGTGTGGCCAATACGCACAGTACTAGAATTTAATGAATAAGATTCTTAACTTTTGAATTTCAGAACTCTATTGCCTGAAGTAAAATACTACCATGCCAAAAGAAACACAGGCTGAACCACAAGATGGCTCAGCTGGTAAAGGAACTAGTCACACAAACCTGACAACCTTGAGCTCAAGCCATGGAGCCTGAGGATAGGAGTTCAATCACAGTGAACTCAGTGTAAAAACAGAACTGACCCCAGAAATTGTCCACACTCCCACCCAAAATGGTGACCCCTGAAGCTTTTCTGAGCAAAATCACCCCAAAATGTCACTGCTAACTCACAATTCTCATCTCTTAGAAGAGTCCTTCTCAAGTAAAGAATACCCGAGTCTCATGGATAACATACTTTATCTATCAGAGATCAAGACCATCCCTGCAGCTAAGGGACAGCAGGTTTACTGTGGTGGCAGTCTGTGGAGTGTCAACTGGATAGTAGCTCTTTCCTGGCTCTCTTTTTCTACAGTCAGTCACTGGCTGGCTCTGTCTACTCTGTATGTGTATATGTGCACAGAGCTGTTTGTGTAGGCAAAGAAAAGGAAGGGAAAAAATGAAGACAGGAAGCTACTCTGTCAGGCAAAGGGAACATAAATAATGGGAGAAACTCAACTCACTATGTAACACAGACTACCCTCAAAGCACAAGCCTTTTGTCTCAAGCATCTCCTCTGGTAGGATCATGTGGGTCATGATACTTGGTATTTCAACCTTCTTTGTGACATCAGCCTATAACCAAGGTAGGAGCAGGAGGCCAGGTCTAATGACAACTCTTCTTAGTTACTTAACTGAAACCAATCAAGGGGTTTTCCTCTTGCAGGCATGAAAGCAATCATTACACTTTTATTCATTTTTTAAAAAAAAACTGGGTAGCCGGGCGGTGGTGGCGCACGTCTTTAATCCCAGCACTCGGATCTCTGTGAGTTTGAGGCCGGGCTGGACTGATAGCCTCCAAAACAATACAGAGAAACCCTGTCTCGTAAAAACCAAAACCAAACAAACAAACCAAAAACCAAACAAACAAAAAACTGGGTATAGTGGCACACATGCCCCCCCCTTTTTTGCTGGGGGAGGCAGCTCTCTCACTTGCATCCCAACATTCACTGCAGAGGCCCAGAAGATCTCTATGAGTCCCAGGCTAGCCAGAATTATATAGTGAGACCCTATGTTTAAAAACAGGTGCCGGGCGGTGGTGGCGCACGCCTTTAATCTCAGCACTCGGGAGGCAGAGGCAGGTGGATCTCTGTGAGTTTGAGGCCGGGCTGGACCGATAGCCTCCAAAACAATACAGAGAAACCCTGTCTCGTAAAACCAAAAAGTTACAGTGGATGTGAACTTTTAGCCCAGAGGCATTGAATGCCCTAGACATAGAATTACAGGTGGTTGTAAGCCACATCTAACATGGGCGCTGGGGACTGTACTTGAGTCTTTTTGTTTTTCCAGACGGTTTCTCTGTATTGTTTTGGAGGCTGTCCTGGAACTCACTCTGTAGACCAGGCTGGTCTCAAACTCAGAGATCCCCCTGCCTCTGCCTCCAGAGTGCTGGGATTAAAGGTGTGCGCCACCAATGCCGGTTGAGTCTTTATCTTATGTGTGCTTTGTGTGAGTGCTGGAGTGTCACAGTATGTGGAGGTTAGAAGACAACATGCAGATAGTAGTTCTCTCCTTCTGCCATGTGAGTCCTGGGGATCAAAAACACAGTGCTATGGTTGGTGGCCAGGTGCCTTAAATTGGAACCTTGTCAACTCCAAAGGTCTTTCCCTTAGCCTAGATGTAATGTTGTACCTAGTTTAGGAGCCTGGGTGAAAATGAATCGAAGGGAAAAGTACTTCCTCCCAGCAGAAACATGCCTCAGAACAGGGACGGCAGCAGGTTTGAACAGGTACAAGACCGAAGAGGTTCTTTCCTGAATCTATGTAAGCAGCAGACACTTTGCGCAGAAGAGAACTCAAGTGGTACAGCTGCTTATGTCACACATTTCTGTAAGTAATATCTGTGAAGCTGTAAGTTATTCAAAGACAGACCTGTAGAAGCATTCATACCTGGGATGAATACACATTTGTTCACATCTCTCCAGGAAAATCAGACAACAATGACAAAGAAATTGTTAATGGGGATTAAAATTATTATATTCCTAGAAGTCCCTTTTTTGAGAAAGGTTTCTCTGTGTGGTCTTGGCTGTCCTGGAACCCACTTTGTACACCAGGCTGACCTTGAACTCAAGAGATCCACGTAAAGGCATGTACCACCACCATTTGGCATTTCTAAGGGTTTTTATAGAAGGACCTGGTTTCATTAACACTACCCTTTAAAGAAAAAAAAATGGATTCAATCACCATGCCACATAAAGTTTAAAAAGATACACATAGATGTTTTTATTGTTACCTGCAGGAACCATGTTTGGAGATGTTTAAGACGGTCCCTGTGATACATCGGTCAATCTCTTTGGACAGGTTCTTGGCCAGAAGGTTCACACATACAGGAACTCTATGAAAACACACAGATATCAGAACACCACACACACACAAAACCCCATACCACCAAAGTTCAGTCACTGCAAATAAACTCACTTCTTCCTCTGATAGAAATGCCTTCCTATGTGTGTGGGCAAATGCCGTCGAATTCTTTCATCAGTAATGAAAATGTCAAAGCTACCCAGGAGGCGGAGCTTGGCTTCATAGGCTTTATATTCTGTTTTTAAAGTTTTAAAAGGGATAATCTAGAAAATAGAACAAAAACAAGAACAAAACCTTAAGAACCTGAAACAAGAAATATGGAATACAGCCGGACGGTGGTGGCCCATGACTTTAATCCCAGCAGAGGCAGATGGATCTCTGAGTTCCAGACCAAGCCTGGTCTACAGAGTGAGTTCCAGGACAGCCTCCAAAACAATACAGAGAAACCCTGTCTTGAAAAACAAAACAAAAAAATACGGACTACTTCCTATTCAGGTCAATCCTAGAGCCACACCCCTCTCAGTTTAATGAATTCCTAAACATCTAAAATGTGCCAGACACTGCAAAATGCTGGGGACACTGAGAGGACTATCATTAAGGACCCAGGACAAAAACCCAGTATGTAGGCCAGGGCCCAAAATAGATTACAATAAATCTGTTTCTTAGGATCCTCAGGTTAGAGAGTGTTAACTAACTTTGAGGCTAGCCCAGGCAATTGAGCAAGATGGTATCTCAAAACAAAAGTAAAACAGTGGCTTCAGAGATAGCTTAGTGGTCAAGAGCACTGACTCCTCTTACATAAGACCTGTGTTTGATTCTCAGTACCCACATAGTGGCTAACAGCTATGTGTACCTCTCTCCAGCTGCAGGGCATCCAAGACTGTTCTGGCCTTCATGGGCACATACCAGGTGCACAGACACTCACAGATAAAACACTCAGACACATTTTAAAAAAGCAAATGTATTGGAGATGGAGGTGGGGAGGCAGTATGTGGTACAACGTTTATCCCAACCTGGGATTATTTAATCCCCCTAATGAAGGAGGATATCTAAGTAGGAGGCTAGCCTGATCTACACTGCAAGTTTGTGGCAGAGCATTAGCCTAACATGTGTAAGGTTCTGGATTCAATTCCTATTACCAGGAGAAGTAAAAACAATCAAATAATAAAACAAACAATCACAAAGCAGAGGCAGACATAGAATGCTCTCCAAGTACAGAGGGACTGACACAAACATTAAGTTTCTAAATAATCTGCAATGGCTATAGATGGCTCAGTGGTTCAGAGAAATTGGAAATGAATCCAATTTCTAGCACCTATGGAAACAACCTGCAATTCCATTTGCAGGGAATCCCATGCCCTCCAGCCTCCTCTTAGGTACTGTACTCTAGACAATTAAAATTAAGATATAAAATCTGACATGCATTTAGCTTTTCAGCCACAAATCAGAATAGCACCTTCATCACAAGCAAAATGGAATACAGCCAACCAAAAGCCACAATAATTAGATTAAAACAAGAAAAACAGGGGCCAGAGATGGCTCAGCAGTTAAGGGTACTTGCTGCTCTCTTTTGAAGGACCTGGGTTTTATTTCTCAGCATCTACCAGGCAGCTGACAAACACTTGTAACTCTAGCTCCAGGGCATTTGATAGCCTCCCTCTTTTGGCCTCCAAGGACACCTGCATTCACATGGTACTTAGGAATATAAGCAAAACATATCCATGAAAAAATAAACTAAAGAGAAAATAGACCTAAAAAGCAATGTATATATATATATACATATATATCATATTTCATTTCAATTAGATCTCTGAAAGGACTTCAAAGTAGTAACATGATTCCTACCCGAGAGATGTTGTTAACTCCATGCTTTTTCAAAAGTTTTTTATAGAAACATTCTGTTTTTTCAGGTGATTCACAGTCATCTTTGGTAAACAGACAGACTTCTGAGGAATCTAATAGGATACTATGAGGCAAAGACCTGTAAAACATGACAAAAGACAAGGAGCAAACCATTATTCTAGACAATGTGTATTGTCCAAAACACATTTACTCCCATTTAAAATAATCTAGGGGCCAGGCGTTGGTGGCGCACGCCTTTAATCCCAGCACTCGGGAGGCAGAGGCAGGCGGATCTCTGTGAGTTCGAGGCCAGCCTGGTCTACAAAGTGAGTTCCAGGACAGCTTCCAAAGCCACAGAGAAATCCTGTCTCCAAAAACAAAAACAAAAAAAACAAAAACAAAAAACAAAAAAAAAATCTGGGGATATGTGTCCCATTGTGCATACGTGGGTCCAGAGAACAACTTTGCGGACCTGGTTCTCTCCTTTTATGTGTACCAAGCAGGAACCACCCTGTTGGCCCCAACCAGCCACACTGATTTATGCATGCCCTTTAATCCCAGCACTTGGGAGGCAGAGGCAGGTGGATCTCTGTGAGTTTGAGGCCAGCCTGTTCTTCAGAGTGAGTTACAGGACAGCCAGGGCTACAAAGAGAAACCCTGTCTTGTGGAGAAAAATGCAAACAGAGGGCTAGGAGTGTAGAGCAGTTGCCTAGCACAAGAAAGACCCAGGTTTCATGGCCCAGGAACAGACCTTCAAGCATTCACTGTACAGTGATCCATGTTCATCCCCCGAACCAGGCTCAAGGGGTAGTCCAGCATTTAAGAGCACTGGATGCTCTTTCAGAGGACCCAAGTTTGTTTGTTTGTTTGTTTTTTGGTTTTTTGAGACAGGGTTTCTCTGTGGCTTTGGAGGCTGTCCTGGAACTAGCTCTCGTAGACCAGGCTGGTCTTGAACTCACAGAGGATCCAAGTTATATACATTGCAGTTTATAACCATCTGTCATTTTATTTCCAGGAATTCTGATTTTTTTTTGTATCCCACAGGCTTCTGTACACACAAAAATATGGAAATCAAGTGTTTTTCCTCTTTAAACCTCCCGGAGTCCTCATTTTTGGGGAAAACACATACTGGTTTGATAAGCACAGTAAGCAGCTTATCACACAACATGTAAGATTCATCAAACAAATAATTTTTTCTCAGATTAAGAGGTTCTCCAATCTTGCACAGGACCAACTTACACCAATATGATTATTCCCTCCACCCCCAAACCTACCAGCTGTACATCAGAGGAATCTCATCCAAGATAGCTAACAAGAATATAAATACTCAAAGGCAGGCTGGATGAATCAGTGGGTAAAGACACATGCTTAATGCCAAGCATGACAACCACAACTCTACTCCAAGACCAACATGGGAGGAGAGAAATAGTTTTTTTCCTTTTTCAAGACAGGGTTTCTCGGTATTGCTTTGGAGGTTGCCCTTGGAACTCGCTCTGTAGATCTGGCCTTAAACTCGGAGACCTGCCTGCCTCCCTCTAGAGTGCTGGGATTAAAGGCTAGAGTCAGCAACACCCAGCTGGTAGAAGAGAAATTGTATTTATTCTCTGACCTTCACACGTGAGCATCTAACTTCCATACACACACATATAAATGAAACCTACAATAAACTAATTTAATTTCAAGACATTGTTTCTGTATAGCACTGGCTGTACTAGCTCTGTAGATGAGAATGGCTTTGAACTCAGAGATCTGCCTGCCTCTGCCACAGCTGGCTCTAAAATAACTTATAAAAAGAACATGGGGGCCGGGCGTTGGTGGCACACGCCTTTAATCCCAGCACTTGGGAGGTAGAGGCAGGCGGATTTCTGTGAGTTCGAGGCCAGCCTGGTCTACAGAGCTAGTTCCAGGACAGTCTCCAAAACAATACAGAGAAACCCTGTCTCGAAAAACCAAAAAAAAAAAAAAAAAAAAAAAAAAAGAACATGGGGGCTGGGTGTTGGTGGTGCACGCCTTTAAATCCAGCACTCGGGAGTCAGAGGCAGGCGGATCTCTGTGAGTTCGAGGCTAGCTTGGTCTACAGAGCAAGTTCCAGACAGTCTCCAAAACAATACAGAGAAACCCTGTCTGGAAAAAAAAAAAAAAAAAGAACGAAACCTGAACAGATAAATTAGAACTTAAAAAACTTACACTTGGACACGCAGTTCTTTCGCTGGAATTTTCCATAATATCACCATTAAAAATAAATTCTTATTTCCATTCAAAAGTAACTCATTTTTTTTCTTTGACTTGGAGTGTGCAAACAGAACTTCTACGGCCTTTTTAATCTGAGGAGACATAGAAATAAGTTAATTCTCTCAATTTAGGTAAATTGTTGCTCCCATATACATATACACAAACATACTTGTTTCCTTTGCTCCTCTTTCTTTTTGGGGGGGCAAATTTCAATCAGCATATTGGTGTTTTAGAATTTGTGCCCAGTGCAATTTGCAATTTAAGATTCCATCAAAAATCCAAGTAACTGCTTGCTTACGGGATTTGCTTACAAGGTGTCCTTTCTACTTACGAGAGCAGGCTATACCGAACCTTCTCCTACCCTCCATTAGCGAGGGAACAATCAGGAAAGGCGCTTAGTTCTGGGAGCAGTCACTGAGCTTTATGTGCCCGGCCCCGAGTACAGTACTTTTCGCACGTGCAAATGTCTTGGAATCCTGAAGAATGGAGCGCAGAAAAGCCCACTCCCAACAGGAGGCAAACAGGCTATAGGCCTGAGGGAAGCGAACCCGCAGGGGTGCGTTTCAGCGACCTCCTTCGTGTTCCGGGGCGCCCACTCGGGCCCGCTGAATTTCCAGGCCTCTCGCTCCACACCCCGCGCCTCTCGCGGGCCCTAACTACCACGCTTGCGAATCGCTGTCTTTCAAATCACTCGCCTGCTCTCGGTCCAGATGTTCCAAAGCGGCCGGGGCCGCTTTCATCGCGGTCGCTGTGTCGGCTGAAGTCGAGAGAGACGCGGACGCTGAGTCCTCCATGATTCTTCGCCTCGTGCAGACCTAGGAATAACTGCGCACGCGCAGGCCCGAGGTCCGGAACCGGAAAGCAGAGGGTAGGATCCCACCGGGGACCTCATGCGTCATTTCCGGGTGGGCGCGGAATTCGAGTCTGAGGCTTTCCTCTTGAGTAGTTGTTGCTGGTGAGATGCCGGCTGTGGCTGGGATCATCGCTGAGCCGGCATATCTTGCGTCCGGCATTTCCTAAGTCGCTAGGCCTGGCAAGCCCTGTCGCTCCTCCACGGAGGACAGCAGGAGAGCGTCCTGAGGAGAAGCTAGAACCCTGTCCTCAGCCCCGTGCGGTCGGTCCTCTGAAGAGCGGGAAGCCGTGGCTCCTCCACCCTGTTGTGGCTTCGGGTGTCGCTTTTCCCAAATTGGTGGCGTTCCGATAAAATAATAAGGAACCGCCGATGCTAGGCGCAAGAAGCTGCGTGAGAAACGAAAAGGTGAGTTGGTCTCTCAGAAGCGTCGGGCTCAGCTAAGTGTAAAGGCGGGATTACGTGTAGGGGAAAACTCCAGGATGTCTCCTTCCTGCTTCTCTCCCTTCTGCAGAGCACACCTTCTCCTAGAAATTTCCAGGACTGTTAGAAGCATACTTTGTTTTTTCCCCTCCTTAAAAATAGATACAATTAAGCTTTCTGTTTAAAGTAAGAGTAGTTGCCGGTGCCTTCGAGGTTGTTCTCAATCAGTACTGGAAGCTCTGAATGGTACCATGCGTTTTTATTTTATTTTGTTTTGACTTATGAGATCGGGTCTCTGTTATGCAGTTCTGGATGTCCTGGATCTCTTTCTCTACCAGGCTGGCCTTGAACTTACAGAGATCCTCCTGCCTCAGCCTCCCCAGTGCTGAGGTCAAAGGCGTGCACCAATACTCTCCACTTACTGCATTTTTAGTCAAGATCTTTCTAGCATTTATCCCAGCTTGTCCTGAAACTTGATGAAACCCTCCTCCTCTGCGTCCCACATGCCGGGACTACAAGAGCGAGTTCCCCACACCACCTTACCATCACAGCTCCATAATTTACGTAGGAGCTGTTGGGCAGATATTAAGGATAGTGACAGTCTTTTTGCAGCTAGCTATGTGAATTTGGGGGGGACTCCAAGAAGTGGGAGTAGTATGTTCTCCATTGTCAGTTGTTTTCCAAAAGTGCTTCTTCTATGAAAGAATAAAGCCCTTCCCTAGTGTCTGATAAGGATCTTGTCTTAAGCAACTTGTAGAAGACATGTTGAAGAAAGTCATTGGAACCTACTTCTGTCAGTCTATTTTAGAATCTAGTATAAGATGGACTTTTAGCACATTACAGTGAATTGTTACATTGGACTTGAGCTATCCAGGCTTCCTAATCCACTCCAAAGAGCATTTGGTGGTGGTGTAAGGTGTTCCCTTCCCTGAATTCAAGTTTAAGAACCAGGCTTTTTTTTTTTTTTAAGATTTGTTTACTTTTACTTTGTGTGTGTGGGTGTTTTGCTTGCATGTATATCTGTGCATCACATGTGTGCAGTGCTGGAGGGAGGCAGGAAAGGGTGTTAGGTCCTCTTAGAACTGGAATTACAGATGGTTGTAAACCGCCATGTGTATTCTGGGACTCAAACCCAGTTCTTCTGGAAGCACAACAAATGTTCTTAACTGCTTAGCCATTGCTCCAGCCCCAAGCACCAGATCTTCGGGCCAAGGAAATGACATGAATTCGGATGATAAGTTGTGGAGGTGGTTGAAAACAGTACGTGACTAAAGCCAGAGAGTTGCAAAATGGAGGGATGGGGTATGAGGCTTTAAAAACGGACAAAGTAACTATGGTTATGAAAGAAATCATAAGAATATTAATAGCGAAGCAAAGCTGAAATGATATTCCTACTCCCAAATAATGGAACATCAACACACACACACAAACACACACACACACACTTTCATTTCAATGCAGGCTGATTTAGAGACTTGGTTCTTTGTAGTGCAGTATTGAAAAGGTGATAGGGTGTCAAGCCTGGCGTGGTACTTGTTAGTCCAGTCCTTAGAGGCCTGAGGCAGGAGAATTGCACTAAATAAATTCTAGGCCATTCGTGTGTAAGGCAGCCATAAGGAGAGGGAAGCCAGATGCCGTGTTTTGAGGCTGCTTTGGCAAACAGCTACTAACCACAGGCATGAGGTTGGAAGTAGAGCCTCCTTTGCAGACACATGAGAGATTACAAGCCAGAACCATCCAGCTGTGCTGTTTCCAGCTTTCTCACAAAAACTAAGCTTTTGCTAATTTCAGCTATCAGACTAGGCTGATTTGTTCTCCATCAATAGATATTTGATAGAAATTTATAGTCCTCTTGGTTTTAAACCCACTCACATATTCAACTATGTAACTTTGGATTTCTTCATCTCACATTCACCAAGTCTTACCATGAACTCATTACCCCCTTAACCTGCTTCTCTTGTATTTACTTCTTAGTATGGGTACTGCTAAGACAAATAGGAAAATTATTTTTAGCTCTTTTCTCTTCATCCCTAAATGTGATGGATAGTGGATTTGGTGGCTCACGCTCCTAATACCATTACTTGGAATTACAGAATTAGGAATTTCATGGTAAGCCTCATCTACCTGGAATGTTTAAGGCTACACAAAACCCTGTCACAAAACAAAAGACAATAAAACTGTGGAGATACATGGAAACCTAGATTATCCCCAAATTCCTAAGCCTGAATTATAGACAATTGGGTGGTATTAATAAAATTTGAAAATGAAAAAAAAAAAAGGAACAGATTTGGAAGCTATCGGAATGGATTCTTTTGGGCTGATGAGATGACTCAGCAGGTACAGATCTCTGCCATCAAGCCTGGCAACCTGAGTTTGACCCAAAGAATTCACATCATGAAAGAAGAAACCAGATTCCCGCACATTGTCCTGATTGCCACATGTGAGCTCTGGCACAGGAGTCATGGCACAGGTGTGCCCACATGAATGCATACACATAAGAAAATGCAATAAAGGTAATTTTTAAAATATTCTTTTTCAATATTTCAAGTTTAAAGTTCCAGTGCTATATCTAAGTAATTCTGGGATGTGGAGAAAACATTTCTGAGAAAACAAAAGACACTTAGAAGTCATCTTCATAGGGATGGTGACAGCTCTGAAAATAGATGAGATTGCAAGTAGTACAGAGCAAAAACAGCCATAAAGAAGTCTTTAATTGTGGATTAAGAGGAAAAAGAGCCAAGAAGCAGAAATGTTTGAAAATAGCCAGGTGGTGGTAGCACATGCCTTTAGTCTCTGATTTCAAACCCAGCCTGGTCTACAAATCGAGTTCTAGGACAGCCAGGACTGTTACACAGAGAAACCCTGTCTCAAAAAACCAAACAAATAAACAAAAAAGAATGTGTCATGTTCCAAATGTGAGGAGATATTTGAGGAGGCTGACATTGGATGTCGTGCTGGTTAGTATGGTAGTTTGAATGAGAATGACCCTTATAGATTTGAGTGATTGGGTATCAGGGAGTGGCACTCTTTGAAAGGATTGAGAAGTATGGCCTTATCGGAGCAAGTGTGTCATGAGGGTGGGGGGGTTGGGGGGTGGGCTTTGAGGTTTCAAAAGCTCAAGCCAGGCCCAGGGTCACCCCTGTGCCTGTGGATCTGGATTTAGAACTCTCAGCTACTTTTCATGCACCATATCTGCCTGTATGCTACCATCTTCCTGCCATGCTGACAGTGGACTAACCTCTGAACCGTAAGCCAGCTCCAGTAAAATGTTGCTATAGTCATGGTGTCCCTTTACAGCAATAGCACATTGACTAAGACAGTTTCCTAATTTTCAACTTGATACAAGCTAGAGTCATCTGGGAAGAGGAAATCTCAATTGAAATAAATACCTCCACCAATCAAATTGACCTGTAGGGAAGTCTGCGGGCATTTTCTTGATTAATGATACGAGTGGACTCAGCCCACTATAGGTCATGTCACCCTTGGGCAGGTGGGCCTAGGCTTTTTTTTGTTTGTTTTTGTTTTTATTTTTCCTTCGAGACAGGGTTTCTCTGATTGCTTTGGAGGTTGTCCTGGAACTAGCTCTGTAGACCAGGCTGGCTTCCGAACTCACAGAGATCCGCCTGCCTCTGCCTCCCGAGTGCTGGGATTAAAGGCGTGCGCCACCACCGCCTGGCGGGTCTAGGTTTTTATAAAAAGTCATGAGGAACAAGCCAATAAGCAGCATTCCTCCATGGTCTCTGCTTCAGTTTCTGCCTCCTGCCTTGAGTTCTTGCCCTGATTTACCTCAGTGATGGAGTATGTCCTAAGAGGGGTAATATGAAATTAGCTCTGCTCCCCTAATTCTTTTTGGTCAGTGTTTTATCATAGCAGTAGAAAATAAAGACAGATATCATCTTCAATTGCTTCTCCACATTATTTTTGAGGCAGTCTCTAACTAACCTGGTGTTTGCTATTTCATCTAGACTGACTAGCCAGCAAGGCCCTGGGGATCTACCTGTCTCAGTCCCCCAGCTCTGGAGTTAAAAACAAGCACTGCCATGCCTGACTTTTTTACATGTGTACTAGCAAGCATTACATTCACTAAGTCCTATATGTAGCATTTATTGGATTAGTTTTTGTTTTTTTTTGTTTTTGCTTTGGATACAGAGTCTCTCTTTCATAGCCTTGGCTGTTCTGGAACTCATTATGTAGAATAGGCTGGACTTTAGCTGAACTTAGGATGAAATAAGGTGAACAAACTGTTTAGTCAAGGTTACTGTTACCTTGATGAAACACCATGACCAAATCAACCAGGGGAGAAAGAGGTTTATTTGACCTACACATCCATGTCACTGTCAGCACAGGAACTCAAAAGAACCAGTGTGCCTATTGTAGAGGAAAAAAAGACACTGGAAAAACAAGTGCCCAAAAGTTCGTAGACATGAAAAAGAGAATTGATCTTCAACCGGATCAGATTGATGGGGCCAGGGCACCATACCAATGAGCCCTTTGGACCCCATGGTCACAGGAAAATAGAGGGCAAAACTCTCTGGTTCCTGGGTAAGCGTAAATACGGTCCATTCAGTGCTGACCCAGCCCCTGGGCCCCATCACTGACGATAGAACCACCGTCCAATGGACCACAGGAAACTGTCATCTACTCCTGGACCACCAATTAAGAAGTGAACCTTGGGGCTGGAGAGATGGCTCAGTGGTTAAGAGCACCGACTGTTCTTCCAGAGGTCCTGAGGTCAATTCCCAACAACCACATGGTGGCTCACAACCACCTTGAATGAGATCTGGTGCCCTCTTCTAGCATGCAGGCAGAAGGCTGTATACATAGTAAATAAACAAAATATTAAAAAAAAAAGAAGTGAACCTTGGACAAGGTATTGTGACTCATTCTTTTCTTGTTATCCCAGATTGCCCATTTCCCCTGATTTGTAGAGATTTGTTGAGAAAAATTGGTGCCACCATCACAAAATCACTCTGGACCTGGAGAGTCCATACTCAGCAATTTTGATAAATTGCCCCTTATCAGAAGAATATAAAATGACAGAAATGATGATTGAAAATTAGGAGCTGATGAATTATTCCTAATAAAATTAATGCTAAAGTGTTCTGCAGTATGGGTAGAGATCAATTCTCCCACACTGGACTCACAGTGGCCACCAATTATTCAACTCTTGAACTCAGCCTTACTTGTAAAGGTTGAATACCCAGTCTCAAAAGAAGCCAAAGCAGGCATTAGAAAACATATCAACTGCTTTAGAGATGTAAGAATTTTGGTTCCCTGCAATTCACCTTGGAGTATTCCACTACTCCCTGATGTAAAGCCAGGCACCCAAGACTACCAAGACTTAAGAGAAGTAAATAAGAGAGTAGAAACTTCTAAAGTGCCCAATCCGTATACTTTACTCATCCTATTGGCTCCAGGAAAAACTGTATACACTGTCTTAGACTTAAAGGATGCCCTTTTCTCTCTGCTTCTGGAGCATGTGAACCAATCTATATATATTTGCTTTTGAATGGACAGACCCCAAATCAGGGTTCAGTGGTTTAATGACGTGGACTCAACTACTGCAGAGGTTTAAGAACCACCGCATTCCAAAGCTAGGTGTGGTGGCACACACCTTTGATCCCAGCACTGGGGGCAGAGGCAGGTGGATTTCTGTGCGTTCGAGGCTAGCCTGGTCTACAGAGCTAGTCCCAGGACAGCTAGAGCTGTTATAAAAAGAAACCCTGTCTCAACACTCCACACTTTGTCTGATGAGGCTCTTAGTGCGGACCTCCTTGAATACCACCAAGAGTATCTGAACATCACCTTCTTGTGGTATATGAATGATCTCATTGTTGCACACACCTGAAAGAGTGCCAACAAACTAATGAGGAATTACTTGAAGTACTTCAGCTGCTGGCCTACTGAGTGTCTGACAAAAAAGGTCCAATTTTGCTCCAATAAGGTAACTTATCTGGGGGGTTATTGCTTGGAGGGAGGTAGTAGGACCCAGTCCTATAGCAGGATCCATGCTATTGTGAATATTCATGAGCAACAGGATAAAAGGCAGTTGAGAATTTCTGGTTGTAGATAAAGGATACCTAACTTTGCAGAAATTATAAAACCATTATACTAGAGACCAGGAGGAAATGCCCCTCTGACATTTGTTTGTGGATAAATGGAATTGGGAGGTGAAAGGTGTAGGTGTATTGGCTTTGGAACCAATTTGTGTAAACACCTAGACCCAGTTGCAGCATGATGACCAGCTTGTATCCAAGCCATTGCTATCACCACATTATTGATAAAGGAAACTGATAAATGGACTATAGGAAGGAGTTGGTTGATAGCACTCCATTGAAATGTTCCTTCGGGGAGCCTCTGAGCACTAGATGTCAAACATATGCCTACCCATTCTCATGCTCTCTTTTTAGATGCACCCAGCATCAAATTCTCACCTTCTACAATGCTTAAGCCCAGCATCCCTTTTGCCTAGCCTGAAGAATAGCTAGTCCATGACCAAGTCTGGGCTATTGACCATCTGCCAAATGGATGACTAGACCTCCCACACCAGCCTTAGAAAGGCAGGTGCAACCCTGTTCACTAATGAAAGTAGCCAGAGGCCAGGTGTGTAGGTAGAGCTCCAGTGACACACATTGAAGTAACCTGGTCCCAGTCTCTGCCTCAAGGGATATCAGCCCAAAAGGCAGAACTAATATCCTTGACTCTGGCACTAAGTTGGGGAAATAGCCACACTGTCAACATCTATATCGATAGCTCGTATGCCCTTGCCATTGCACATATCCATGCTACGTTGTACCAGGATGAGGCCTACTAACCCTGAGGAAAAGGAGGTCAAAACCAAAGAGGAAATCTCAGCTCTTCTAGGAGTTATTTGGTTGCCAGAAAGGCTTGCTATTATCCATTGTCCAGTACACCAGAAAGGGACTCTGTTGAAGGATGAGGCAACATATTTGCTGATGCCATGTCAAAAGGAGTGACCACAGCCAGTGGGGCCACTGCAAATATTAGGCCGTCCCTCAATTCTCACCCTACTGCCTGAGCCAAACCTGTTAGAATATCCTATGTATAATGTCAAGGAAGCAAATTGGATCAGACAACAGGGGTCCACTAAGACAGAGGACTGGTGGATTCTTTTAGGTGGATGCTCTATCCTGACAGAAGCCCTGGGATGATCCATTCTCACAAATACATCAGAATACACATCTGGGATGGACCAAATTAAAAGTTTATCAGGGACAGGTATTTTCTATAGCACATAGATGAAAGGGTTGAGCAAATCACCTGCCACTTTGCTGTTTGCACCCAGGTGAGTCTGAGAGAAGGAAAACCAACACTATGGATGTGTATAAAAGGGGACTTAACTCCGTCAGCATTGGAAATTGGACTTTACGAAAGTTGCTGTGATGAGGTTTGGCTACTAGTATTTGCTAGTTTTTATACACACTTTTTCAGGATGGGTAAGAAGCCTTTCCCACCAGCTAGTGTAGTTACTATTGGGGATCATTCTCCGATTCAGACTTTCCCTCCTTTTGGAGTCTGTTAAAGGCTTGATCTTCATGCCCAAAGTGTCTCAGTAAGTAGCTAAAACTGTAGGAATCCATGGAAATTGTACTGTGCCTATAGGTCAGAGTTTAAGACATGTAGAAAGAAAAAACAACTATTAAACAATTAAATTGTGGACAGAAACTGGCAAAAGGGTGGACAGAATTTCTCTCTACTGTTCTTTTTAGGATCAGGTGCTCCCCCTACCAGGACAAGCTGAAACCATTTGATATTTTTGGCCAATCACCTCCAATTATTCCTGTCAAGGTAAGGCCACAGATTATTGAACTGTCTAATCGTTCCTTCCTCAAGTCCTTACAGGCACCACAGCAGACAGCTAGAGACATCCAGAGTCATCTATCACACCAACTGCCTGCATCACCCTTGACTGAACCAGCATCCAGGTTCCAACCTGGGGACTTAGTGTGGGTCCTCCGCTTACCCAGCAAGACTCTTGAACCTACATGGAAGGAACTGACCATATCCTATGATACTGACAACGCCAAGGGCCGTCAAGGTAGTGGGGACTGCAGTTTGGATCCACCATTCCTGTCTAAGGGTGGACACAGCCAGCCAGGAGAAAGGTGACAAATGGAGGGGAATGCAAAACCCCCAGTGCCCTCTAAAGGTGCGGCTCACCTGCACCCTGAACTCAGACTGACACTAATATTGGGAATGTTGGTAGGTAACTCCCACATATGACCGACTGAAAGTGTTGAAGTCTGGGACTGAGAACTGTCTTGAACTGCAGATAGGAAAATAATAGGCATTTTCCAGAATGCCACCTCCCAACCTGTGTTTGGATTTGACCTATGCAATTTCTTTAATAACAATGAATTTATGGCTGAATGGGAAAGTTATGGGTGTGGAACAAAAATGAAGAAAATATCCTTTTGGTCTTTACCATTTTATGCATGCCCAGCCAATGGGCCTACTCATTGTCATAAGTGGAAAAGAGATTATCATTGTTCCACCCAGGCTGCAAGACTGAGTCTGACCAGAGCAGACATAAAGACCCATTCATCTCCATTCAACAGGTATATCCTTATCAGGATTGCAAACCTAGGACCTGCAACCCTTTCACTTTAAAGATCATAGCCTGGAATGAATTGAGTTCCAAATACTGGCTTGCAGGCCGGACCTGGGGATTTGTGCTTAAATTTAAGAATTATGGGAACAGTCCCGTGTAGAATTCACTATACGGAAAAGGGTACCATCCCACCTAAGCAATCCTGTAGGTCCTGGAAGGAACTGGCTGCCTCAACCAGGGATTAGGGTGTCTCCTTTCTCTGTTCTCCATTCTCAGGCCACTCCACCCATGGCAGTAAATTGATCTATATTCAAAATCAAGGGGCTACAGTGACAAAACTCAGCCTCAACCCCACTGCAGAATGGACTTAAAAGTTTTATTCCTGGCTGGGCGGTGGTGGCGCACGCCTTTAATCCCAGCACTTGGGAGGCAGAGGCAGGCGGATCTCTGTGAGTTCGAGGCCAGGCTGGACCGATAGCCTCCGAAACAATACAGAGAAACCCTGTCTCGTAAAAACCAAAAAAAAAAAAAAAAGTTTTATTCCTGGATGATGCACCTGGGCTCAAGACCTTGAAGTTCCTGCATAACTGGATAAATTATATACACCCCAGCCTGGGAAGAGATTGTTGGCATTGTCTAAGTGCCAGGCCTCCCTTTTATGTGGGGTAGGGGTAAATCTCTATTATGTCAACTACTACCCTACCAGAAAATTTAAATTGTAAACTGGAAGAAAATAAACTCACCCTGGGAGATTTCCTAGGAATAGGTACTTGGTTAATCTCTTCCACTTATAGACAAGCCTGTAATACTCACTTGTACACACCATCTAGTCTGAACTTATTAGAATGCACTTCCCATGCCCTTTAAGAACATGGTTATTTCCAAGTAGACATATATATACCAGAAAGGAGGGTAGAAAACTTTTGCCTGCATATAAAGGACATTCCTGTTAGAAAAAAAGAGAATAGCAATTGCAACTATGAAGCAATAATCACAGGGAGCATCAGCCCTAGTTATTGAAGATCAGAGTTTTAAAACACGAAATAATAAAGTAGACCAAAACATACAGCATCTAAGGGCTCTATTGGACAGCTTGAAAAACAAGTAGTTTCCCTAGCAGAAATGGTTTTACAAAACCATTGAGGGCTGGATTTGTTAACTCTTGAGGAAGTACGTTTTTGTGTAATCTTAAATGAAAAATATTTCTATGCCTATAACTCAGGAGCTATATGGGAAACATTAGATATAGTTCAGAAAAACTTAGATACAAAGGCAAAGGAATGAACTGAGGCTTCTAATTGGTACAGTCTCTGTTTCTCTTGATCCCCATGACTTAACCATCCTTTTAATGGCCATAGCTGGGCCCATTCTTTTATTACTTCTTGGCATCACAATTGGCCCTTGCATTTTAAGTCAGTTACTAACATTAAAAGTAGAATCAGGTCTGTTGTTACCTATAAGCCCTACAGGCTCAATATCAACCTGTACATCAGCATGAATTGATTTGACTCATGTGATCTAGAGCCAGTAGGAAATGTGATGACTAAGCAAACTCCATTTTGTACTAGGTACCCATTTTAGTAGGCTTTTTCTTCTGAGTTAAATTCCTGAAAGATAAGTTCCCTGGCATCTTGCTCCCTTTCCAAAATGGTGTAATTGTTGTGAAATGATTAGCTGCTTGCTCTGGATTTTGTAATTCACTTACTGAAGTATGCTAGGGGAGTGAGGCAGTTTCTCACAGAGCTGCAAATTCACAGAAAAATTGTTGTTTTGCCTTTAAGAACCCTTCCCTCAACCTCTTTTGGCTTTATTTGGCTTTAAGGCTGTCACTCTGCTAGCATTTTTAAAATTTTTTTTGGTTTTTCGAGACAGGGTTTCTCTGTATTGTTTTGGAGACTGTCCTGGAACTCGCTCTGTAGACCAGGCTGGCCTCGAACTCACAGAGATCTGCCTGCCTCTGCCTCCGCCTCCCGAGTGCTGGGATTAAAAGCAAGAGCCACCAACGCCCGGCTCTGCTAGCAATTTTAATAAATTCATGTAACTATAATCTGGATCGAGTCTGTGGTCCTTTCCTAGTAGTCTTGAACTCTGTAACAGCTCAGCCTGAACTCTTAGGTCTTAATTCTTGTGTGGCAACAGTTTTAAACTTTTGGTCTTTTTTTTTTTTTTTTTTTGGTTTTTCGAGACAGGGTTTCTCTGTGACTTTGGAGGCTGCCCTGGAACTAGCTCTTGTAGACCAGACTGGCCTCAGAATTCACAGAGATCCACCTGCCTCTGCCTCCTGAATGCTGGGAGCGCCCAGCTCCCAAGGAATTTTTAATCCCTTACATTTCTATGTCTGTTAGAAGGACTAGTGAGTTTTGTTGTGATAGTGGTAGTTTTGTTTTTTGAGACTGTTTCTCTGTATAGCCCTGGCTGTCCTGAAATTTACTCTGAGATCTGCCTGCCTCTGCCTACTGAGTTTTTGGACCAAAGGTGTGCACCACCACCAGAGAACTAGTTTTCTTTCTTTCTCTTTTTTAAAGATTTATTTATATATTTTATGCATATGAGTATCCTATTTTCGTGTATGACTTTATGCCAGAAGAGGGCATCAGATCCCACTAGAGATGACTGTGAGCCACCAATGTGGGTAATGAGAATTGAACTCATGACCTCTGGAAGAGCAGCCAGTGCTCTTAACTGTTGAGCCATCTCTCCAGCCCTGGGAGAATTAATTTTAAATCTGGGCAATAATCTGCAAGGTTTTGTTGTTGTTGTTATTGTTTTCCAGATAGGGTTTCTCTGTGTAGTCCTGGCTGTACTGGAGCTCATTCTGTAGACCAGATTGGCCTCAAACTCACAGAGATCTTCCTGCCTTTGTCTCCTGAGTGCTGTGATTAAAGGCGTGAACCACCATGCCTGACCTCTGCAGGGAGCTTTTTTTTTTTTTTTTTCCGAGACAGGGTTTCTATGTGGCTTTGGAGGCTGTCCTGGAACTCGCTTGGTAGTCCAGGCTGGTCTCAAACTTACAGAGATCCGCCTGCTTCTGCTTCCCAAGTGCTGGGATTAAAGGCGTGCGCCACCAACACCCGGCTTGCAGGGAGCTTTCAAAGGCAAAAAAATGTATACCCTGGCTGTCAGCTGCAGATGTAGAGCAAGCAAGCAGTTTAATAGAAGCAAAAAGCTGTAGTTAACTGGTGCATCTTGACCTCAAGTCCTGGGGCGAGGTTGGTTAATTTTCTAAGAAACTTTACCATGGGAAAGGGAACATAATTGGAGAGGTGGAGGGTGGAGTGGGGTGGTTAATTCTGAGTCAGGCCTTAGATGTCCACATCACGGCTACAGCCCTAAAATTCATTCTCATTCTCCCCCTCCCTCCTTTTCTCCTTCTCTTTTTTTTTCTTTCTTTCTTTCTTTCTTTTTTTTTTTTGTTTTTGAGACAGGGTTTCTCTGTGGCTTTGGAAGCTGTCCTGGAACTCCCTTGGTAGTCCAGGCTGGTCTCGAACTCACAGAGATCCGCCTGCCTCTGCCTCCCGAGTGCTGGGATTAAAGGCATGCGCCACCAACGCCCGGCTCTCCTTCTCTTCCTTCCTCCCTCTCCCCTCTTCCTCCGACCCCTCTTACTCCTACCTTCTCCCAAGACAGTGCCTTACTATGTAGCCCTAGCTGGCCTGGAACTCACTCTGTAGACAAGGTTGGCCTCAAACTCAGAGATTTGCCTGCCTCTGAGTGCCTCGGATTAAAGTCTTGTGGCACCATAGCCAACTATAAAATTTTCTTAAATTGATGTTGATTCTACCTTTTCTTTCAGAAGTTTTCATTTAGTTTCAGTACTTTTAGGTGGAAGCAGGAGGATTACTATGTAAGCAAGTAAAATGTAACACTTTGCCTCCAAAATCCAAAATGTAGCTGGATGTGGTGGTGCTGTGGAATAATCCTCTTGTACACTGTAAAAATTTGTCACTTGGATTGGTTTACTAAAACCATGATTTAGTAGTCAGGCAGGAGGTATAGGCAGGGTGACCAAACTAAGAATAATGGGAAGGAGAAGGGCAGAGTCACAGGAGACACAAGCCATATGTGGAGCAAGCAAGTTGGGCATGCCATACTGAGAAAAAGTACTGCCACTTGGCAGAATGTAAATAGGGAATATGAGCTAACTTAAAATGTAAGAACTAGTTAGTAATAAGCCTGAGCTATTGGTCAAGCATTTATAAGTAATATTAAGCCTCTGTGTGGTAATTTGGAAGCAGCTGCCAGCTTGGAGAGCAGGTGGTTGGGGCAGGAAATGTTCATTTACATGGTGACACATGTGGTTAATTCCAGCACTCAGAAGGCAGAGGCAAGTAGGTCTGTGAGTTCAAGTCCAGCCTGGTTTATATAGTGAGTTCCACAGCTACATTGTAAGCTCAAGAAACCAAAATGAAAACAAACTATCAAGCACAAGGTACTATTTGAGCATACACAAGATTAATATCTACACGAACTCTTTATCCATACAATATGGTATTATTTGTACTATTGAAAATAATTAAGTTTGGAGCCAGGCGGTGGTGATGCATGCCTTTAATCCCAACACTTGGGAGGTAGAGGCAGGTTAATTTGTGTGAGGTCAAGGCCAGCCTAGTTTACGGAAGGAGTTTGAGGACAGCCAGGGCTATTACACAGAGAAACTCTGTCTCAAAAAAAAAAGAAAAAGAAAAGAAATAAGTTTGGACCAATGATATAGCACTATGGGTAAGTGCAGCCACTCACTACCTTTTCTGATAGCTTGAGTTCAATGCCTGGGTCCCACATAGTGGGAGGAGAAAACTGACTCATCAGCAAGTTGTCCTCTGACCTCCACATTTGTGCCATGACAAGTTTATCAACTTCTGTTATGCCAAGGTCTCGGGATCCCCCAGAAACCACCACAGAGTCTGCACTCGTATGTCAAAGCAAGAGCTTGGACTCTCCAAGCAACAGCTGAGAGCAGAGAGAGTGCCCAGCTCAGGAGGGTAGGGTTTTTTGTCATGGTAGAGGAGATTTTCTAACATTTGTCTAGGGGTGCTTGATGAAAGGGGATGGGTGTGTGTTTAAGGGACATCAGATGATCCTATCTATAATGGTGGGAGCTTTAGGAATTTCCTTTGGATCATTTGGTACTCTCCCCACCCATGATCCCAGCTTGTGGTCTCTCCTGGAGTCAGGTGTTGCCCCAGGGTAAACTGAAACTTGAGGTCGATTTTCTGGTTGGTCTCCACTGAGCCTTGCTGTGGCAGCAGTGCAGCCAAGCAGCAGGTGTGTACCAACTTGCTCTGCACCCCATACCTCCTTTTATAAAACTAATTTAAAAAGAAAATAATGAAGTTTTAAAACTAAAATAGTAATTGAGTTCCAAATTAGACTTTTTTTTTTTTTTTTTTTTTTGGTTTTTTGAGACAGGGTTTCTCTGTGGCTTTGGAGACTGTCCTGGAACTAACTCTTGTAGACCAGGCTGGCCTCGAACTCACAGAGATCCACCTGCCTCTGCCTCCCAAGTGCTGGGATTAAAGGCGTGCGCCACCAACGCCCGGCTTCAAATTAGACATTTTTAATAAATTTTAATAATACTTATTATAGTGGTTGATCAGCACAATAGCTTCAGGACAACCACTCTGACGAGACTGCTATTTGGCTGTATGCTCTGAATTGCAAACTACATTTCTAAATAAAATTCTTTCTCCTATTTTAGTTTCAGTTCAATTTGGATTGGTAATGTCACTACTCCTTCTTCTTCACAGTTCTGTTAACCCTCTACCTATTGTGTGGGAAACTGGGACACCTTCTTAATACTCCTCTCTTAAGAGACAAAGTACATTTTCAGATATATTAATTTTCCATGAAGTAAACCTGTACTAGAATTAGTTAATAATTTAAAGTGCATGGAATTAAATAATTATAACAATAATAACAACAAAAAAGAATGCTATAGCCAGATAGTATTGTTGCACACTTTTAATTGCAGGTAGATCTCTTGTGATTTCAAGACCAGCCTGGTCACAAAGTGAGTTCCAGGATAGCCAGGACTACACAGAGAAACCCTGTCTTGAAAAACAAAAAGAATTTTATAGATAGTAAAAATAAAGGTGCATGCTCAGTGCTTATTTTTTAAGGATTTATTTATTATGTACACAGTGTTCTGCCTGCATATATGCCTGCAGGCCAGAAGAGAGCACCAGATCTCATTACTGATGGTTGTGGGACACCTTGTGGTTGCGATTGAACTCGGAACCTCTGGAAGAACAGCCAATGCTATTAACCTCTGGTCCATCTCTGTAGCCCCATGCTCAGTTATATAGATGCCTGGCATCTGAACTCAGGTTTCATACTTGTGAAATACATGAATTACTTTTAAAAAAAATACAGGGACTTGAATGTAAAGTCAGGTAGAACACCCTCAAGTCTTGGTAGTGCCTAGTCTGCACTGAACAGTACAGGCTATAAAATATTTTGGGAAGAAATGATTACAATTAGGGCTGATTTGGAGGAGCTGTGGTGATGGTATGTGTATTTCGGGGTATTTCGGAGGCTGAGGCTAGCCCAAGCTACAGAGAACTTGTTTCAACAAACCATCCTTTACCTCAGCCTCTTACACATGCTGGGATTAGAGGTGTACTGACTTGTTCAGCTACAGTGAGCATATCCCCCTCCCCCACCCTCCTTGTTTATTGTTTTTTTGAGACAGGGTTTATGTAACAGTTCTGGGTGTCCTGGAACTCACTTTGTAGACCAAGCTGGCCTCTAACTCACTAAAATTGCCTGCTTCTCCCTCCCAAGTACTGGGACTAAAGGTGTGTGCCACCACCACCCAGCTAGGAAGCCTTCTAAAATGACTTAACACAGTGGTTCTCAACTTTCCTAATGCTTTGACCCTTTAATACAGTTAATGTTATGGTGACCCCAACCATAAAATTATTTTTGTTGCTATTTTATAACTGTGATTTTGCTATTGCTATGAATCATAAATATCTGATATGTGACACCCATTAAAGGGTCATTTGACCCATGGGTTGAGAATAGGTTTCAAAACAGGGTTTTTTGGTTTTGTTTTGTTGGGTTTTTTTGTTTGTTTGTTTTGGTTTTTTTTGTTTGTTTGTTTTGTTTTTCGAGACAGGGTTTCTCTGTATTGTTTTGGAGGCTGTCCTGGAACTTGCTCTGTAGACCAGGTTGGCCTCAATCTCAGAGATCTGCCTGCCTCTGCCTCCCGAGTGCTGGGATTAAAGGCGTATGCCACCAACGCCCAGCTAAAACAGAGTTTTTAAAAAAGTCTTTAACAGGTTTCTAGGCATATTACCCCACCTCAACCTTGTTCCTATATGTGGATGACCTGCTGGCCTCTGACTCCACCAGCTGCTTGAAAGATACCAAGGTTACTCTAGTTACTCTAGGTACTGGGATACTATCTCCCAAAGAGAAAGCCTTAACTTTGTAAAACGGAGGTGTCATATCTGGGATATGAACCTACCCAAAGTCAAAACCTTCATTGTTTCCCAGGAGACTGTCCTCTGGATCTCCACATCTCAGGCCAAGAAACAGGTATGTGAATTCTTGAGAACAGCAGGCTACTGCCAGCTGTAGATTCCAGGATTTGCTAAAATACCCGGCTCCTCTATTAAGTTGTGGGTACCAACTCTTCAGTTAGACAAAGGTAGAGGAATGGGCTTTCCAAGATTTAAGGTGGTGGCCTTAAGTTCCAAGCCTTGGCTTTACCAGATATCATTAAGCCATTCCACCGTTTCATCTTTGAAACCCAGGGGAAACTGACCCAACTTCCTGCCCCTCGACTTCCCCAGGCCAAGATGTCTCTCATAAAGCAGGGTTTACCCCATTTGAGATTATGTTTGGGAGGCCACCTCTTCTGTTTCCCAACTTGAGGGACCCCATCATTGGGGAAATTACTAACCAGTCTCTTCTAAAGAATCTTTAGTCTTGTCTCTTCAGCAGGTTCAGGCTGCAGTCCACTCTTAAGATTCAAGACACCCAGCCGGGCGTTGATGGCGCACGCCTTTATTCCCAGCACTCGGGAGGCAGAGGCAGGCGGATCTCTGTGAGTTCGAGGCCAGCCTGGTCTACAAGAGCTAGTTTCAGGACAGCCTCCAAAGCCACAGAGAAACCCTGTCTCGAAAAACCAAAAAAAAAAAAAAAAAAAAAAAAAAAGATTCAAGACACCCTTCCAGCTCCCTTCTCAGTACCCTGCTGCTATTCACTTCTGGTATACATCAAAAAGTTCCAAAAGGGGGGCTGGAGAGATAGATGGTTCAGCAATTGGGAGCACTAGCTGCTCTTCCAGAGGACCCGGGTTCAATTTCCAGCACCCCATGTCAGTTCACAACTGTCTGTAACTGCAGTTCCAGGAGATCTAGCATCTTCACACAGACACATGCAGGCAAAACAACAATGCACATAAAATAAAAAATTATTAAACATTTCCAAAGGAAGGCTTAACTTCTATATGGTAAAGACCTGCTGTCATCTGACTACATTGAAGAGGAGATTCCTGCCTGAATCCACTATTTTTGTGTTAATCCTGTCCCAGATCAGAAGCAAAGATGGACTGCCATGCCAGGAACCAGGCTCCTTAAAGCTAAGACTCTCCAACAAGTAGGACTTTTACTTACAACTGTATGTTCCTTCACTCTGTCCAAGCACCTCTCCTTTTCCTTTTCCACTGGGGAATTTACGGATAAGGCCATCTGAACATAAGGGTCCAGTCACTGTGCAACTAAAAACACATCATGAAGACTTTAAACCTCTTCACTGTCACAGTAAATTACCCCTCATTACCCACTCCTAGGCCTTCAATGAATGACCAATCCAGAAAACCTCTGCAGCTTTTTTTGTTTTTTTGTTTTTTTTTGGTTTTTCGAGACAGGGTTTCTCTCTATTGTTTTGGAGGCTGTCCTGGAACTCAATTGGTAGACCAGGAACTCACTGTGTCTTATGAAATATGTGTATGAGCTGGCCTGTTGTGGTACACACCTGTAATCCCACCAATTAGCAGGCAGAAGCTGGAAGGTCACTACAAGTTGAGGCTAGCTTATTCTACCTAGTGAGTTCCTGTCCCATCTTTCCCTCACCAAAGATGAGTGTACAAACATTGCCGTTATTCAGTTAGCCACTATGAATACCAGTTCTGCTAAGTTACCCTTGCACAATAAAGAAGGGCACATGCTGCCGTTTGGTCTCTTGATCTTTATTAAAAATCCTGAATTTGTAGCGGTTCATAGCTTGGACAGAATAATCATTGATGTTTCTCCAATTCTATTGTTCACATAAAACCACACAATGTGATGTTATCAGATACCTCTATAACCCTTCTGGAGGGCTGTTTTTGTTCTATAAGGTTGTCATATAACCATACAAAAGCCTCACACACCAAACAAACATGTTCTTAAATTCTGAGATAACAGCCTGTTAGATCCATCCAATAAGTGTGTTAGATATGTCCAATAATTGATACAAAAATATTATAAAGTAGCACAGAGTACAGCACAGGTGATTATAAACAGACAGGACATCAAAAGGGAAGATGACAATTTTTATTATTACAAAACAAAATGTTTAAACTTCAGTCATTTGAGTAATTGCAAGAGCAGACTAAGGGCTTAATCCTCACACAGGCACCAAGTCAGGCACAGTAGGTAGCTACAAATCATAAGAAAAGGGTTTCTTTCCTACTTAGAACACTCATTCATGCTTTGGAATTAGGCTAAACTCATCAAACCTAACCAGTTCTCATTAATCTTGTTTTCTTTTAAAATGGGCTCTAGGTATTAACCAGTTCAGTAAAAATTAGTCACTAAATCCTGGCCTGAGAGATCCACATTTCCTTTAAAACAAACTGAAGAAACTTAAGTGTGTACATTTCTGAGAGCCCAGCATGTCCCTTCAAGAGTAGGGCTCAAACCTCAGTTTCAGCTAACACATGTGGGAGAAATGGAGGCGAAGGCCATCACCTGAGGAGGGCCAGAGCTCCAGCTCCAGCACAGACACTCTTCCCCGGGCAGCAGGAAAGGAGGTAGCAAGGACTCAGGCTGACATCTGAAGCACTAAGCTAATGTGCCTACAAGAGGGAAGCCTCAGGAAGCACAAAATGCCATCTACCTGTGCAGTCTAGAAACCTGAGGTTCCCATGTCAACATTTAAAGGGCACAGTGGCATGTGTGACAAGGCAGAAAAAAAACCAATACTGTTCTGGGGCTGCTTAAGAAATCGTGTTTTCTGCCTATCAGGCTTAGTGCTTATGTACTTTTCCCTTGCACCCCCCATACCTCCACGCCCTCATAATAATCCTTAGTAAACAACTTGGCTAGTATATTATTGTTTCAAGGAAGCATAGGATTAGAGGTATGTGAGAAGTGTATTTATAGAAGGGAAGACTCATTAAGTTCTAGGATTCTAAAAATTAAGAATATCCCAGAACCAAAACCATCAAGTATCAAATCTACCCTAGCTGAATTCTGGCAATATATTGGTTCAAATGCAATCGACTGAATTACTACTGGAAAATAACACCTTCTATTCCACATACTATGAAATCTAATTTAACCAACTGCTAAATTTAAACCTGTTAAGTCATGAGTTTGCATATGTAATTATATGTATCTAGCAAGTTGCTGCCGTGGCAAGATTTCTAAACAAACAAGATTGTGAATAATTAGTGTTAGAATCACTGAAAAATAAGTTGGAAGAAATAAATACAGTATTTGGAGGTAATACTCCCCAAAATCCAGTTGACTGTTATCTATCTACTCTACATATAGATCTGTGAGAGGATTAATTGCACAGTTTATTCTAATAAGGTAGGCCAACAATGAATATAAAATCTACTCATCCTACAGTCAGAGCTATAGTACTGTAACCAGAATTTTCACAGATGGTTTAAAGATTGGAAGTTCCTAACATTGAAAGCTACAGCTTTAGCTTTGTCCCTTGACTACCTAAATCTATACCCAAAGCAATGAAGTTATCATTCATAAAGCAGCAGTCAGTGAGCAAGAACATGCCAGTAAGCAAAGGTGCTAGAGTGCTGTTATGTGTAAACAGTTACCCAAGATCATGAAGTAATGACTAGTGTTCCTGGAGATGACCAAGGGTTTAGAGCTGATTTTTTTTACACCCCCCCATGTTCATTTTGGATTCTGAAGTTATAGAACTGCTTCTGGCTCCAAGTATAAGCCAAAATATTTGCAGCACTTTAATTGATGATAGGAAGTGTTCAACCAAATAACTTTCAAAGTCCCACATTGTAAAGTAGATCTAAGTGGTTTTCATAACATGATAAATCAATTACCTTGTTACAGTGCATCGCATGTACTTCATACAAAGTTTTTACATGTAATTACCATGTATTTCCAAGATTTTTAATTAAAAACAAGGAGAAAAAATGTGTTTAATCATTTACAGTTACTTTGTCATTTAATTTCTAGGCAGTATACACTCAGCCCAACTTCTTGTGGTTTGAATTTATAGAGATTTTTATATAAAGAAAAAATGTTGTATTTCCTCTTCCACAGAAAAAGATGACGGTTAAGATGTCTTAAGCACCATCACCTCCAAAATTCTGTATATTCACCTAAAAGATTAAAGTATATGACCTAGCATACAAGTTGTATAATGTAAAATGAGGAAAACCAAAACGATGCTACATGCCTATGTTAAATACAGCTGAAAAAAATGCCAAGTTCTTTAATATCCAGAATGTGTAACGTTATCCTATTTTGCATTGTCATCCACATAAAAAGTTTACACTTGCAAAAGACAGAATGATAGCACACAACTGTATTGCTCTTTAAAAATCTAACATCTGCACACATTCCAAGCTTACGTCAGATATTTTATCTCCTTATTCAAATGACAATCTGATACATAACCACTATTTTATACGTCAAGTATAAATAGAGATACTTCTTTCAAACTTCGAAGTCCCTAGATATATGGTGTTGATTAATTCTGTTTATGTGATATAATTCCAATGAAATTTTTATGATCCCATTTGTACCTTGTAGAGGTAGGCCTTTCACAAGTGACGTCCAAGTCATTTCACTTAAGAATCTTGGCAACAAGCACATAACATTCTTAAGAGTGTAAGTGTTTTAAATGTAGACATAACTTGTTTTTAAAAATGTTTAATTTCAAAAGGGAAATCCTTGGAAATAATTTCAGTAACTCCAAGGTTCTAAAGATTCATTAAGTTCATTTTGTTATTGCATTTGCTAGTATTTTATTAGTATGGAAATATTAAAAAAAATTTGTTCTCATTAGAGCTCCCAAATGTCACAGAAAAATAAAAGCCCAGATATTTGTAGACACCATAAAATTTAAATTTCATGCAATTTAATGAACGTTATGTGTAGTTCAAAGAAACTGGAGGGCTCTACATAGCTTTGTCCATAAGACAGCAACTCATTCATTTCTGTAATTGGCATTACATTGATAAGAATACACTTTTGTGTTTTGTTTTATAACTGGAAATACAGTTGTCTAGGCTTTTTTTATTTTCTGGGGAGCAAGATTACAGGGATGGGCCACACCAATAAACACACAGTTAAAAAAAGTATCTTAGGAATCACAATGTAAAAGGCCAAATCTCATAAATGGAAGCATACATTCAACACGGAGGCATCTGATAAACCCAGAAACTGTCTTTTCTACTTCCCATTTATTCTCACTAAAAATTTCAGGCATGATAGCTGTAGTAGAAAGTCACCCTTTGAACTAAAACCACCACACCACAATGCTGCCCTGTGGTTAGCAAATTACAGCTTATATTTTAAGAAAACTAAATTGAGCTAAAACCTATTCTGTGCTTGCTTCTATTTGTCACTGTTCATTTTAGTGTGAGAAGTTTGTGACAATTCTGTGTTCCTTTAGTCAATGTATTGAGAATTGGCATGAAGAAGCAAGGCTCTTCCACCCTTTAAAGTTACCAACAAAGTGAGTAACTTGTGAACTAGCATGTGTAATTGAAAGGGTTTCATATTAGATGCATGCAGCTCTTAGATAAACTAAAGGGCATTCGTGAGTCTCAACTTGCTTTCTTTACTGTGAATTCCATTAATGTAACAAGCTAATGGAATTGTCTGTAGGGGTATGGTTTCATTAAGTTTGTACTTATAAAGATGACAGTAATGCTGTTTGTTCATTTCAAAACAACTTACTGTGTTTAAGAAATCATTAAAATATAAATTGGGAGAAAATAACCAATAAACCTAGTTAGTAAAGCAGTGTCACAGTTGCATAAAGGTGTTTATGTATGCATTAATCATCAAAATAAGGGATCAAACAACAAATTCATTCCTTTACTACAAACTTGAGCAGTGTTTGTAAATGCCCCATTTAAAGTGAGTGGGTAGGGAGAGTTTAGAAAAATCCAAGTAATAAAATGTATTCAATTACTTGGCAGTTAAAAAGCTAATGCAACAATGTTACATTGAGATAAAAAACAGTATTCAAAAGCAATTCAAATACCGAAAAGGGTTTCAAATTGAATATTTTATTAACATGGTAGTTGTCTTCTTAACATGTGCACACACACTCGCACACTCAGAATGATCTGCCTGGGGAAAAAAGACTAACTATGTCTAAGGGGAAAATGAAAAATAAAAAAAAATTCCTGTAGGTTTTCATTATTGTAGGCAATTATGTCCACATCACTTACAAAGCTATTGCCAAATCTGTCCAAGAAAGCGAAGTTTGAAAAGGGGGGCAAAATCTTGGGGGAAAATTCAACAGTGGCATAGCAGAGCTCTCAATATGAGAAAGCTGACATAATGTGGACTTTTGCTGTGAATTTTCTTTGCAAAATATGGGGAGAGGTTTGTCAATGGGCAGAAAATAAGAGAAGGCGGTGTGAAGTAGGCTTTTGCAGTCAATATTCCTCACAGTATTGTGCAGGGTCATCAAGAAAATGCTTAGTCTTTCTCTGGAACCAGTTTCAGAACTTTTCCAATTGCAATAGTCTTACCTAGAAATGAAATTTTGAAAAAAAAAAATAACACCTTTCAGTAGTTAACAACAAGTTTATGTAATGTATTAAGCCTCACATCTAAAAGAAAATTTTGTCATTATGCAAATTCCCAATGTAACAACTCTATTCACCCAAGCCATAGTATCTGCTTAGGTAATTTTAAGTGAGTCTTACTGAGAAATGGCTTATGTGTACAACAGAACACCAATTAATAATAAAAAATTAATGAAGTATCATCCAACAGCATGGCTAAACTTTAAAAATCTGCTACATGAAACAAAATTGTCCTCACACATCTGTATAGCTACTAAAAAACTAACCCTGTCTCCAAGCACTGAAAAGGGGGGGGCGCATACAATTCAGTGAAAAGATTCTTCTAGGAGCATGTCTGTGGACTGAAGGAGACTAAAAGTTATGTTACATTCATTTCTTTTTTCTATCTGCTTGATTTTATCAGGCTTTAATAGGTAACAAATTACTTAGAGCTGGGCACAATACAAATGACTGTAATCCTAGCCCTTGGGATCTTGAGTTCAAGGCTAGTTGGGTCTTACATAGAAATAATGCCTCAAGAAAAAAAATCTCATTAAACTATTAGATATAACAAATGTCACTATCAACAAATTTGGAAGATAAGGTATTTAAAATGAAACCATGACTCAGTCAAACTTTGGGGGGAAAGTACAATCAACAGTTTTTATATTGTATTCTCTACTATGGCTTAATAATATTGGACACTACCATAATCTATATTTCTGTTGAACCACAAAGTTTTATGTAGTTTTCTAGTTGCCAGATACGGCACTCAGGAAGCCAAAGCAGTAGAACTATAATGAGTTGGAGGCCAACTTAGGCTCCAATATGGGACCTAGGCTCAAACAACACATGGTGCTGGGGATACAGTTTCGTCTGTAGAGTGCTGCCTCAAATGCATGAAGTGCTGACTTTGATTCCTAGCCCTTGGGGAAACAGAGGCAGGAGGACCACAAGTTCAGGAACATCAGATCATCATAAGCCACATACTAAGTTTGAGGATACCTTGGACTACATGAGACTTCATTTAAAAAAAACAAAACTTAAAAAAAAATGTTCCCTATAATCATTTATTTTCATACCATGGAATTTTTTAGACTGTTAGAGGAAAATTTACAACTACTCTGTATCAAAATTAGGCAGAAATGGATGCCCTCAACGATGTGAAGTGCATATTAAACAAACAAACAAACAAAAAATTAAGTCTTGCATTCTTACTATAAGAAGTCTATACTAGGAGCTGGAGAGATGGCTCAGCGGTTAAGAGAACTAACTGTTGTCCCAGCACCCACATAACAGCTCACAACTGTCTGTAACTCTAGTTCCAGGGGGATCTGATACCTTCACACCAATGCATATAAAAGTTAAATAATTAAAAAAATGTTAAAGTCTGTACTATACTACATACTATAGAAATGTTTTTAGTAAATTCAATTTTTTCCTAGTGCACTATTATAAAATCCTATGCACTAAGTCTACATAGAGCCTTATTGGTACTGTATGGTAATTCCATTTGTTATTTAATATATACATGGATTTCCTTTGAACCTTCCTGCTGTAATATGGACAGGACAGCCCGACACCAGAGACAAGTGAAAACCTCTTACCCTCATCTCGCAAGGTAAAGCGTCCCATCTGAGGGAAGTCTTTAAAGGTCTCCAAACAGATGGTCCCTGCTGTCCTCAAACGTGCAATGCATACTTGATCTTGTTTCACAAAACGGGGTCGAGTCTTACTTTTTTCTCCTGATTTTTTGTCTACCAAGCAGATTAAGGCCTAACCAATAAAAGAGGATAAGAAAAAAAATTTAATGTTAAACATAAGTAGCTCTAAGAATAAAATGTAACCTGAACATAGTATTGAATCCTAATACTTGAGAAGCAGGAGGCAGGAGGATCATGAGTTCCAAGCCAGCCTAAACTACACTGTGAGACCCTGCGTTAAAACAAAAACAAAGAGCCGGGCGGTGGTGACCCACACCTTTAATCCCAGCACTCGGGAGGCAGAGGCAGGCGGATCTCTGTGAGTTCGAGGCTGGGCTGGACCGACAGCCTCCAAAACAATACAGAGAAACCCTGTCTCGTAAAAACCAAAAAAACCCAAACCAAAACAAAGGACAGACAACAAGATAGCTTTTCAGGCAAAGATTCTTGCCACATAAGTCTCTCAACCCGATTTTGATTCCTTAGCAGAAGATGAGAGAGCTAACTTCAGAAAGTTTTCCTCTGACTTCTACACATGTACCATGACATACTCACCCCTCTCCCCGAAAAAATAAAAATAAGTATAAATGTATCTATACTATTGATCAGGAATTATCAAGATGCAATATTCTTAAAAATTAAGCAAACAAACCAGTTACCCTAAAACCAAACTCACTGTTATTTCGACTTCCTCGATACAGGTATGAATATGCAGCACCGCATTATACCCTGGGCAGATGATGGATTTGTGCTCTATAATCACTATCTGTCAAATTAAAAACAAAACAAAAACCCCTCAACTTTAACTTCAATGTTCTAAAGATATAATATTCCAAGAAGCAACAGAAATCACTAACTTTTGAGTATGTGCCATTTGTTGACAGGATAGCTCAAGTTGCTCAACCAAAGCTCACCCTTAAACATTCCACTGTATAGAAATTGGTAGATGCCTGGTTTATCTCAGTTCAACAGGCAGTCTAAGAAGTCGTCACTATATAGTAACCATGGAATTAATGTGACAAATTATCTCCCACAAATTACCCAAATGGGATCGTCCCATAGCTCATACATTTTTCAATAGCCAAGGTCCAGTTAGTAAACAATTCAATGTACTTGGCATTAAAAAAATAAGCAAAACAAAACAACAACAAAAATACAAAACTAAAACAAGAAACCGTAGCCATACTTTTCCTGGGAAATGGTTAAGAGTTATTTATGTGCATGAGTGTTTTGTCCACATACATGCATTGAGGAGGCAAGAAAAGGGTATTGGGTCTCCTGGAACTGGCGCTACAAGGCAGTTGTAACTTACAGGTACTTGGAATTGAACTCAGGTCCTCTGGGAGAACAGCAAGAATTCTTAATGCCTGAGCCATTTCTCCAGCCCCAGTTTAACAGCACTCAAAGAGTTCTGTTATGGTATTAGTGTTTTGCTGCCACTCTCCCAAAAAGGTCAGATTAAAAATAAATGTGACCCAAGTCTAAAAACATACTGTCTCTGGAATAGGAAACAAATATGCTGTAGTCAAAAATCAATTTTAAACTAAATATTTACTGGTGCTATATCACCATCTGCCTTTACAAAGTGAATTTTATTATAAAAAATAAAATGGAATTTACAAAAATACCACCTAATAAATTCTTATCTTGAAATTGTTGAGATAATACTGTTGTGATGTACAAATGAGTCTATTTCAGTTCCTCTGCAACAGTTATGTGGCACATCACAAACTCAAGACAAAAGGCACTGAAATTCTAACCACTTAGGTTCTAACAACAACGAAGATGAATGAACTTGTTTACCTGGGCATCAAATGTGCGTCCAGAATGACAAAGATTATTAAGATCACAAAGGATGAATCCTGGCAGAATCTCCTCTTCTTCAATTCCTTTCAGTCGGATTTTGAGGTTCTCACCTGGAGCTACAGAATCTGTTTCTACATCATCAGAAAGTATTCCAAGAACTTCCACGTTGTGCTTAAAAAGAAAGTTGAAGGTTTTCTGACACATGCACTGAATTATAGGACGTAAAATGATCTCAATGTTCATGTGTTAAGAAGCTACAAATTCACAAGTCAAAATATTTAGAGGGAAAGAAAAGGGGCTTAATCCCAGGGACTTGTGTTCTATCACTCTCTACAAAGTCCCAACTTGTTATTTATTTATTTTTAATTTATTTATTATGCGTATGCATGCCAGAAGAGGGTGTGAGATCTCATTATAGATGGTTGTGAGCCACCATGTGGTTGCTGGGAATTGAACTCAGGACCTGTGGAAGAGCAGCCAGTGCTCTTAACCTCTGAGCCATCTCTCCAGCCCCAACTTGTTATTTTTTTAATATCAAATTCCAACAACCTGACAACATCTGGAATCACTCAAGGCAAATGCTCAGGCACACCTGTGAGGGCTTAGTTAGTCCCTGACCATGCTGGCACAGAATTACCATAAGTTAACTGATGTGGGTGGGAAGACCCATCTTCACTGGGCTTCACTCACCAAACAAAAACAAATGAAAAACAACAAACTTTTACGTTTGAGTGCTTTGCTTGCATATATGTATGTGCTCCACTGGTGCCCTCAAAGGTCAGGAGTGACAGATTCTCTGGAACCAGACTTATGTTTTGTTGGCAACCACTGTGTGGATGGCTGGGAACTGAACACAGGTCCTCTGCAACAAGTGCTTTTAACCATTGAGCCATTTCTCTAGCCCCCTTCATTTGCTAAAAAATAATTTATGTTTATTTACGTTGAGGTGCATGCTTGTGTCTGTGTGTAGAATACCGCACATGCAATGTGTGTGAAGGCCAGAAGAGGGCATAGCTGGAGTAAGAGGCCATTTTGAGCAGCTTTATGTGGGTGGAGCAAGTACTCTCTTCAAAGTGCTGAGTCACCTCCCCAGCCCCTCCCTTGAGCTGCCACAGGAAACTAAGAAAAATACCAAACTCAATATAAATTTCAAAATAAAAACTATTTCCCAGCTGGGCACTGGTGGCTCACGTCTTTAATCCCAGCACTCGGGAAGCAGAGGCAGGCAGATCTCTGTGAGTTTGAGGGTTCGAGGCCAGCCTGGTCAGCGAGTTCCAGGATAGCCTCCAAAACAATACAGAGAAACCCTATCTCGAAAAACCAAAAAAACAAAACAAAAAAACCAGAAACTTTATTTCCCCAGCAGGTCAATCCTGAGATAAGCATGTGTTCCTCAAAGTTATTAACAAGTGAAATTTAAAAGCATATTGTTGGGGCTGGAAAGATGGTACAGTTAAGAGCACTTGCTGTTCTTACAGAGGACCCACGAACAATGAATTCCCAGCACCAACTGGTGGCTCACAACTATCTGTACATAACTCCAGTTACAGAAAAACCAATGCTCTCTGCTGGCTGCTGGGGGCACCAGGTATACATAATGCACAGAAGCACACCAAACATTCTTTTTAAAAGCATATTGTTAAATGAGTGCAAGATTTCCTAGTGGGAAAGGAACTAAACAGTCACATGCTGCAATGATCAGCATGGTAGTATTGTTAATGTACTAAATGTCATTGGTGAAGTTGTCTCTTACATCACTTTTTCCTTTGTTTTACCCATGTAATTCTACAGGCTTGCATGGGAAAGACAGAGGAATGACACAGGCACTGGAACCCCAGGAGAACATAATTGTTTGTATAAAAGCAAGAGTCAACCAAACCAAAGGCATTTTCCTAGAAAGTACTAAAAATATCAACATGTATCTTGGAATCATTTTATATACCTCAAAGTAGAAATCACCAAATCTAACTTAAACCCCACTAAAAGATTGTTTTCCAGTGTGTGTGTGTGTGTGTGTGTGTGTGTGTGTGTGTGTGTGTGTGTGTGTGTATGAGAGTGTGAGAGGGAGGGAGGGAGGGAGGGAGGGAGGGAGGGAGGGAGGGAGGGAGGGAGGGAGGGAGGGAGGGAGGGAGGGAGGGAGGGAGAGGCAGGGAGAGAGGACAATTTTCTCTCCATTCACCTTAACATGGGTTTTAGGTAGCAAGGACCAAACCTTTTTACCCACTGAGCCACTCTGCCAGTCCTTGAATATTTTTTTCTTTTTATTGGTTTTTAAAGATAGCTTCTTTGTATAGCCCTGGCTGTTCTAAGAACTCCTTTGTGGACCAAGCTGACCTCAAACTCTGAGATCAGCCTATCTCTGCCTCCCAAGGACTGGGATTAAAAAATCATGTGCCACCACACCCAACAAAAATAAATTTTTTTAGAAAGTTATCCAAACTGGCCTCAAACCCCTACATAACCTAGTATAAATGAGCTGGGGGGATTGGAGGCTTTAGCTTAATGATAAAAGTGCCTGTCTATGGCTGGAGAGATGGCTTAGTGGTTAAGAGTACTGACTGCCCTTCCAAAGGACCCAGGTTCAACTTCAATTCCCAGCACCCACATGGAAACTCACAACTGTAACTCTAGTTTCAGGGGATCTGACACCCTCACACAGACATACATACAGGCAAACCACCAAAAAGAAACAAAAACAAAACAAAACAAAAAAAAACCCCGAAGTGTCTGCCTAGCTAGAGCCAAGGTCCTTAGCATGGAGATGGAGTGTTTAACAACAACAGGAACAAAACAAACAAAACAAAACCCCAAAATATTAAAAGACTACAGACACAGAAACACACTAGAAATAAAGCAGAGTTTTCTTCCATGGCTTTTTTAGTAATTTATTTTGTGAACCTTTAAAGCAGTTACCCAACCATTCCAAACTTTGTTTGCTCTTATTGATAATGGGACAGGTTGATAGTTTCAATAGTTTCAAACTTTCATGTTGCACCTTCTAACACTAACATGCTTGAAGACCAGCTGACCCTTTAACCGTCATAAAAACTCATTTGTTCTTATATTTCACTGAGCATTAATAAAAATAATTATTACTCATAAAATTTGGTAGAAGTTCCTAAGTTTTTGAACTTGAGAAAATGCATACTAAACTCTTACCTTGTTTGGCATCATTACAAGCTGCTGGCCTTTACAAATAGATCCAGATTCCAGCTTTCCCAGGACCACAGTCCCCATATCCTATTCAAATTAAGAATAAAAAATTAAAAACTTTCAGTCTTTTATATTATATTAGGTGAATAGATCCAAGTGAAATTCTATAGGATTAATCTATCAAGGAAAGTCTTTAGCTTAATGAATGATAGAATGCTTATAATTATTATTTTTTAAAGTCTAATTTTTTTCTTATACAACTTATTTTTATTTAATGTGCATTCATGTGTTCCCTGCATGTATGTCTGTATGGTGTTGGATCCTGGAGTTATGCAGTTGTGAAAACTGCCATGTGGGTGCTGAGAACTGAACCTGGATCCTTTGGAAGAGCAGCCAGTGCGTTTAACCGAGCCATCTTGCAAGCCCCTTATGATTATTCTTAACACAGAGGAGGTGATAAGTAGTCCATAATAATATAGATCTTAGGCCTCAATACAATTATATTAAATAGAATGCCTAAGGTTCAAAAAGAAAGCTTCATGCAGAAAACAGTCAAGAATTTTATGTTGGAAGATCTGAATTGTTTGTACAAATTTATAAACTTATTTGTTTGTAAACATTAGAGTGGAGCTAACTCAAGTTAAAAGTATGTAAAACATTACATGACTTGCTATTGTCAGAGTTTAAAGATTAAATTGAGGGCTTGGGATATATCTCAGTGGTAGACAGCTTGCCTAATATGCACAAGGCCTATGGATGGAGTTTTAATCCACTGTATTGAAAAACAAATTACCTAAAAAATAAGCTGGAAATCCAGTTGAAACCAATGAAGTATTTCTTTCTTTCTTTCTTTTTTTTTTTTTTATAGGGGTTTGAGATGTGAGGAATTATCATTATTTTTTGGAGACAAGTTCTCACTATGTAGCTCTGGCTAGACTAGAATTTGCTATGTACACCAGGCTGGCCCTGAGTTAAAAAAGAGCCACCTGTCTCTACCTCACAATTGCTGAGATTAAAAGTATGCACCACCACACCCAATGAAGTGCACACTGACAACATAAGCTTTCATGTTTTGTTGGTACTATTATAACTTAGTGCATAGTTCATGCCAGGCTACTTATCAACACAACTTTTAATGTGAAAAATCTTTCAGAACAGCCTTTTCATTGTATTAATACTTCAGCTTAAAAAAGAAAAAGATTAGCTTACTGAAAATATCCAAGCTAAGCTTGCTGAGTAAATCATGGCCTTCTATAAGCAAACACTCAAAAGGATAATAAACATTATTAGTAATTTATTTTTTATGACATAACAAAACACAATGATTTCAACTCCCCTGAAATCCAGTAACCTTAATATTTGAAGTACCTTGTACTTATCGACAATTGGCAGCCTGATTGGTCCATCAACTGATCTATTGAAGTTTGGCAAATTATCCAGATATGGAATAAATGGTAAGCCACTGAGAACAGAACAATATCCATTAAATAAAGTTAACACAGTTTTTTAAAATCTAAGAAGATGTATTATTGCAACTTAAACAATAAATGATCATATATTATAACAGTTTATCTTTCCAAAGTACATTTTTTCATTTATATATTTCCATTTAATGAAACTTATACCCCAGAAAACTAAGACAAAAATGCCTTAACTTTTAAAAAGCTCCCTAGGCCAGATATGGTGACACAACCCTGTAATCCCAGCACTTGGGAGGTTCAGACAAGAGGTTAGGAAGTTCCATAATTGAGACTACATATGAGATTCTTGTCCCAAAACAGCACACAACGAAACAAACAAACAAACAAACCTACAAAACACACTGATGTTTATTAACTGTCTATATGTGTACGCTTGTGCATACAGAAGTCAGAGTACAATCTGCAGGACAGGTCTCTCCTTTAATGATCGGGGCTCTGGAGAAAGATCTCAAGCCATGAGGCTTGGCAGCAAGCACATTGACCTGCTGACCCATGCTATTAACTACACAAAGACTTGCTATGTGGTCTAGACTTGCCTCAAACTCAATCCTCTTGCCTCAGTTCTCAAGTGCTGGGATTATAGACATGTACCACAATGTCCAACTCTCCACTTCCTAATTTTACGGACTATGAAATTTAATTCATATCAAATCTGGGTTCCATAATACAATTTCCCCTTTACTCTGACTGTGAGGCACCACTGTCTAGAGAGGCTGCTTGTTTTGCACTAATTTTATAAACTGATTCTAACATTTGTGTGGAAGTTCAAGAGATTCACAATAGCCAAAACAGAAAGAAGGCCAATTTCAAAGTTCTACAGTAAGACTGCACAGTCTTAAGACTAACAGTAAAACAGAAGAGAAATGAGGGGAAAAACAAACAAGCAAATAACATTTATGGCCATTTGATTTTTAATGAGGATGATAATGCAACAGAGAAATCATATCAGAATAATGTGATACCCATTTAACAAAGCCAATGAACCTAGCTAGGTAAAGACCATAAATCTTACCCAAGAATGAACTAAAAGCTAAAAATATAAAAAAGAAAAACGTTTTCTTAAATTTAAAGTTTAGATTTGTTTTTTCTTATTTGTATTAAGTGTTTTCTGTATGTGCATGTGTGCATGCCTACTGTCCAAGGAGGTTGAGAAGAGAGCATCAGATCCCCTGGAATTGAAGTTGGGCAATGACTTGAGCAATCATGTGTGTGCAGGGAACTAATTTCCAGGTCCTCTGTAAGAGCAACAAGTGCTCTTAACTGATGAACCATCTCCTGCCCCGCAAACCTTAATTACTCTAGAAACTAAACTGACCTCATCTTCTGTAGGGCTAAATCTTTTGTGACCATGGATCAGCCAATGTATTTATTGACTGTGTACTCATGGTGCCATGGAGTACATATAGAGCTCAGAAGACTTGCAGAAGTTTGTTTTCTCTTCCTACCACGTGGGTTTCAGGGAGTAAACTCAGGTCACCAGGCTTGGCAGCAGGCACAATAATATGATGAGCCATATCACTAGCTACAGTTTACAAAACAAAACACAGATTTGGTGACTCACATCTATATTCTAGGACTGCTAGGAGAAGACGGGAGGCAGACATAGAAGAGCCACGTGGAAGATCATGAGCCAGCAGGAGTGGAGTGAACAGAAGAAAGGAGAGGCCCTATCTAAGCAAGGAGGGAAAGGACCAACCTCTAATGCTGTCTTCTTACCTCCATCTAGGCACCATAGCACATGGGCACCTACACTCATACACACCATGAAAAAGAGGAGCAGAGGGTTGAGAACAGTTCAGTGATACAGAACATGCTCAATACGGGCAGGGCTCTGGATTCTATCCAACATAAACAAGTAGGAAAGAAAGAAAGGGAAGGTAAGAATGTACTTAATATAGAATGGAAAAAATACTGGTTAATTACCTAGTAAGGGACTTGTGTGTTTGAGTGAGTGTGGCTGAGAAATTGAATTCAGGGTCTTCATACTTATAAGGCAAGCAATCTACTGACTTGAGTTATAGGCCAAAGCCCCATAAAGAAATCAGGTGGTTGTGGTGCTCGCCTTTAATCCCAGCACTTGAGGGGCAGAGGCAGGAGAATCTCTGTGACTTTGAGGCCAGCCTGGTCTACAGAGTGAGTTCCAGGGCTGTTACACAGAGAAATCCTGTCTTGAAAAACAAAGAGCAAGCCGGGCGTTGGTGGTGCACACCTTTAATCCCAGCACTTGGGAGCCAGAGGCAGGCGGATCTCTGTGAGTTCGAGGCCAGCCTGGTCTACAAGAGCTAGTTCCAGGACAGCCTCCAAAAACCACAGAGAAACCCTGTCTCGAAAAACCAAAAAGAAAAAGAAAAAGAAAAACAGAGCAAACAAAATAATAATAAAGAAAGAACTCAATGACTCAAAAAAGAACACACAGGACTGGGAAGATGGCTCAGTGAGTAAATTGCCTGCTATGCAAGCACAAGGACATGAGTCTGGACCCCAACACCACTGTAAAAGCTGGGGTGGTATGCATCTGTAATCCTAGCACTAGGGAGAAAACAATTGGTTCCAGGGTTCACTAGCCAGTCATTCCAGTCAAACCAGGTAGTTTCAGGTACAGTGAAAAGCTCTAAAAAATAAGTGATGTTAACCTCTGACCTGTACACACATATAAACATGGACAAAGCACATCTTCATATTACACATATAGCATACATCACATTCCCCTGCATATTACCCACAGAAGTATACAACACACATAACACATCCCCCTACACATGACATACATGAGCACACAACACACCACACACTTTAAAAAGGCAAAAGTATGGTAGTTTTTAAAACCAAGACTATAGGCAAAATTTCAATACTATTTAAATATGGCCCTCCACCTTTAAAAAAATAATAATAAAAGGTTACTCACATGTACCAAGGACAGAAATCTGATTGCTCTTTGAGATTTGCTCCTGTCAGTCCTGAGCAGGGCATAAAATGAATGTCCTTTTTGGGATTGAAGCCAACTTTTTTCAAAAATGGTACTAGTTTCTCTTTACATTCTTCATATCTATGAATATTTAGAAATAACACAATTATGCCAACTGAACACTAGTTTCATCAGTGAACATATCAAAGCTTAGAAAAACTGGAAGAAAATGCAAAATAACAGAAATCCTTTTCTTCACTGACATGCCTGTAAAAAGCCAACAGAGCATTGGGAGCTTACCTCTCATTGCTCCAGTTTACCGTTGGATCATCCATCTTATTAATAAGCACAATTAAGTGTTTGACACCTGCTGTCTTTGCCAACATTGCATGCTCTCTTGTCTGTCCACCTTTTTCAAATCCGGTTTCAAACTCTCCTTTCCTGGCAGAGATTACCTGTTCCAAGAAATCAAATAATTTATTCTTAGACATTCAGATCTAACCCCTGTCCACTAAATCTAGCAGCAAAACAGATATACTTTAACTTCTGTAAGAAAGTTTCCCAAGGAAATGGGAGCACATGTGCAACAATGGACATGTCCAATCACATGGTGTCCAAACAGTTTAGAAATCTGAGGGTTTGGAGTCGAGAAGGCACGTCTCCTTGGTAGAGTTATTTCCATGTGCTGTGCCAAGTATCAACACAAACATGTTTTCTCTCCACCTTCCCTCAATCTAAATATGCATATAGTCCACACATTCCAAATGCTTTCTTTTCAGGTTAAGGATGTGAGGAAATACATATTTAGCAATCTCAGGACCCCAGGTTCAATCTCGAGTGTGTGCATGCTTATGAGTTTAGGAGCCTGCTAACCCAGAAGCATCAGATCCCCATCAAACCAGAGTTACAGGAGTGTGAGCCCCCAACCAGGGATGCTGACAATCACCCCAGGTCCTCTGCAAACACTGAGCTATCTCTGCAGCCCCCACTGGGTTTAGTCTCTAGTACTACAATCAAAGTGAGTGTATGTTGATGCATACTTGTAATCATAGCATTTAGACTCTTAGTCAGGGCAGGTGGTGGTGCGCCCGCCTTTGATCCCAGCACTTGTGAGGCAGAGGCAGATGGATCTCTGTGATTCAAGGCTAGCCTGATCCAGAGTGAGTTCCAGGACAGTCAGGACTAATTCACAGAGAAAGCCTGTCATGAAAACCAATCAAACAAACAAAGTAACTAACAAAAAAGAGTCTGAGACAAGGGGATAAGTTTGAGGATAGAATGTACTGTCAAACAAGAAGTGGAACGGGAGAAACAGGGCTTCAATCTTTGTGGGTATAGCATTTAAACAAACAAAATCCACTAAATTCGGACACACAGATAACAACAAGAAAATGTTTAATGTATTTTTATAAGTAAATTACAAAGAGTTCGTGGGCAGATAAGTGACAAAAATGAATACTATATCTATAGTGTTATAATGCACTACAACTTTTTAAGAGTGAAATAGAATATTAAAGTTAGGTTGTGGAACACACCTTAAATAAGAGGCAAGTAAATCTGAGTTCAGGCCAGGCTGGTCTACATATAGAATTCCAGGCTAGCCAGAGCTCCACGGTGAAACCCTGTAACAGTGGTAGAGCACACGCACAGCAATATGCAAAGGTCATGGGTTCAAGCCTACCAATGGGAAAGACAAGATACATGTGGGCTGCTGATAAGTATGTCTAGACCAGATCAGACCAGAGGAAAAGAAAAAAGCCCAGAATAGAAATGTCTTTCTTAGCCGTGCTTGGTGGCGCACACCTTTAATCCCAGCACTCAGTAGGCAGAGACAGGCAGATCTCTGTGAGTTCAAGACCAGCCTGGTCTACAAGAGCTAGTTCCAGGACAGCCTCCAAAGCCACAGAGAAACCCTGTCTCAAAAAACCAAACAGAAAAACAAGAAATGTCTTTCTTACCAGTACAGCCAAGTCAGCTTGAGAGGCACCACCAATCATATTTGGGACAAAGCTCTTATGGCCAGGAGCATCTAGAATTGTAAAATGCTTCTTTTCGGTTTCAAAATAAGCACGACCCACTTCTACTGTTTTACCCTTGTCTCGTTCTTCCTGATTTGTGTCTAAGGCCCAAGACAAGTACCTGGAAGTATTAAAAAAAATATATTAAAAATATTCCTCTACCAATAAGCATGGAACTAAACGTGACATCCAGTTTCATCTCCACTATTCATCTGTATCATAAGACTAGCAAAATAAAAACAAGAAAATTAAATATGTATTGTTATGATTCAAACAGAGCCTATACAGAGTCTATAAGCAAACGTTATTCATAAAAGTAAACTGACGACATAGGGAGAAAGACTACTGAAGTGCTGGGTGTGGTATTACACATCTGTAATTCCAGTATTGGGGAGACTGAGGTAGGAGGATAGTGAATGTTCAAGACTATCCTGAGCTGTATACCAAAAATTCTGTAAGAAAGAAGAGGTGACAGAGAGGAAAAAAAAAAAGATGAGTCATAATATTAACATTGTGGTTTGAATGAAATATCTCCTGAAGTCTTGGGCATGGGCTATGTGGCCCCCATCTGGTAGTTGTGTTTGGGGAGGCTTACAAGGTGTGGCCTTGTTGGAAGAGGTATGTCATTAAAGGTTGGTTTGGAGAATTCAAAGCCTTACACTTCAGGTTTGATATTAGCTTGCTTATTCCAGAGACCATGAATGACTGCTGCCATGCCTTCCAGCCATGATGGAACTACAAGCCCAAATAATTCTCTGTTCTATATAACTAGTACAAATAATTCCAGTATCGCAGAGTGATGCCATCAATCCTTATTTTACTTTTCTAATTATATGACAGAATACACTCATTACAAAAAAAAAAAAAAAAAAAACAGGATATTGCCGGGTGTTGGTGGTTCACACCTTTAATCCCAGCACTCGAGAAGGAGAGGCAGGCGGATTTCTGTGAGTTTGAAGTCAGCCCTGGTCTGCAGAGAGTTCCAGGACAGCCAGGGCTGTTACACAGGGAAACCTTGTTTCAAAAAACTAACCCCCACTCAAAAAAAAAACAAAAAAGGAAAAAAATTCTGATATTACTTCATTGTGTGAGAATTATATAATTCTATATAAATTAATTCAAAACATCCTAGCACTTGAGAAACAGAGGCAGGTGATTTCTGAATTTGAACCCAGTCTGGTCTACATAGTGAGTTCTAGGCCAAACCAGACCACCACCAGAACACAGAATGTGGTCCTTTTTGAAAAGGAGTAGTGTCCCCGTGAGGTAAGGGCTGCAAACTTCTTTCAAGTGCAGGGGACTTAACCCAAGCTAAGCATTTACTCTTCTACTCACCTACACTCCCTCATGTCCACATTTTTAGAAAACAAAACAAGGGCCGGGTGTTAGTGGCGCACACCTTTAATCCCAGCACTTAAGAGGCAGAGGCAGGCGGATCTCTGTGAGTTCGAAGTCAGCCCTGGTCTACAGAGCGAGTTCCAGGACAGGCTCTAAAGCTACAGAGAAACCCAAAATAAGGTCACAAATTGCTACACGCTCATGGGTGTGCATACAGTCTTTTATCATCGAAAAATTTCTTCTTTTTCCTTCCAGTACTTATTTACATTATGATCACATATCCTATGTACAATTGTAATTCTTTTCTCTCTAAATGCCATTGCAAGGTTAAGTTCTATTACCGTTCATTATAAATTTCATGAATATAATCTTTTTTTCCTCCCTTTGATTTTTCGAGACAAGAGTTTCTCTGTGTGGTCCTGGCTGTCCTGGAACTCACTCTGTTGACTAGGATGGCCTCTGTCCACCTGCCTCTGCCTCTGCCTCTGAGTGCTAAGATTAAAGGTAGGTACCACCAATGCCTGGCAATATAAATATAATCTTTGAATGGTTACACAATTGCTCAATTAAATGGATGGCTTAAAATTTATTAAGTAACTCTTGCTACAGGATGTTTAGATGACTCCCAAATTTCTTCTGTGTAAGTCAGGAAGTCATCAGGAGCAGGTCTCTATGTATGATGTGAGAAAAAGAAATCTTTGCCTTTAGCATACAGTATTTTAGATAGCAAAAAAAAAATTTTAAGTCATTTTGAGACAGGGCCTTACTATGTTGCCCAGGCTGGCCTCAAACTCCTGGCTTCAAGCATCCAGAGTACTAGGTTGATAGGCATGTAGTACTGGGTCTGGCTGAAAATATATATTTGAATAGACTACAAAAATATTAAGGTTATCGTGTTTCCTGAAAAGTAACTTATAGGAAGCTGGAGAGATGGTTCAGTGGTTAAGAGCACTGACTTCTCTTCCAGTGGATCAGGGTTCAATTCCTAGCACCTACATGGCAGTTCACAACTGTCTATAACTCCAGTTCCAAGGGACTCAACACCCTCACACAGACAATATGTGTAGGCAGAATACTAATGCACATAAAATAAAAATAATTTCTTTTAAAAAGTAACCTATAGGGCTGGAGAGATGGCTCAGAGGTTAAGAGCACTGGCTGCTCTTCCATAGGTCCTGAGTTCAATTCCCAGCAACCACATGGTGGCTCACAACTCTCTGCAATGAGATCTGATGCCCTCTTCCGGCATGCAGGCGTGGATGCAGGCAGAACACTGTATACATGATAAATAAATAAGTCTTTAAAAAAAAAAGTAACTTATAGTATCATAAAAGTTTACTATACCAAGTTTCTCTGTTTTTTTCTTTAGCTTCTCGTTCATATTTCTCAAGTGTCCTTTTGTCGACCATTCCAGTCAAATACCTGAAAACAGTTAAAGACAAAAAAGTACACACTTTAATTACTCAAGTACTTCAAAGTAACCTGAACGACAGAAAACACCTATTTAAAAAAGAATTACATCCATTTTATTATGTGCAAGTCAGAGGACAGTTTGCAGCGGCCAGTCTTCCTCTTCCACCATGAGGGTCCCAGGGATTGAGTCCAGGCAGCTCACAATCACCCATATTGCCAACTCCAGGAGAGCCAACAGTCTTCTCTGGTCTCCTGGGGCACTCCCACACACATACATGTTTAAAAATGGAAGGGGGCTGGAGAGATGGCTCAGTAGTTAAGAGCACCTGCTGCTCTTACAGAGGACCCACATTTGGTTGCCAGCACCCACAAGGGAGCTCATAACTGCCTGTAAGTACAATTCCAGGAGATCTAGCACTATCTCTTAGCCTGCTCAGGTACATGCACATGCATAATACATATATAATACAAGGAGGCACATGAACACATACACACAAATACAAATATTTTGTTTTTATAGATATATATATATAAAAAAGAAAGAAAACTGACCAACTAATGAACCAAGACATCCACCTGCCTCTGCTTGAGTGCTGGCACTAAAGGCATGTGCCACCATTGCCTGGCTTTTTCTTTTTTCTTTTGCAAACAGTGCTGAGAACTCAACCCAAGACCTTATGTATGGTTGGTAAGTTAGGGCTCTTGACACTGACTTATATCTTCAGCCCTAGTTTTCCAATTTTGATCACTGTATCATAGTTTATGTATAATTTAACATTAAGTTAAACTGAATGAAAGGACTATGAGAACTCTATTGTTTCTGCTTTCTGTAAGACCAACACATATGTACTCACATGTATGTGAACATGTAAGACAAAACATTTTCATATTAAAGATTCTTTAGTACATATTAAAGATCAGTAAATATATATCCTCTTTGTCAAATGACTTCTCAAAGTGAGATCATTTTTGTCAATGTGAAACTATTTCTGAATAGCTTACTAGTAATGTCTGCTCGTTTTTATTCAATCCAATCAAATTACCTACATAATCACCTACAGTATGATGTTCTTCCCAGTCTGAATGTAAAAACAAAAGTGAGAAGGCCACCCTAACTACAACCCATCAACAAAAAACAAACTGTCTATAATACCATCAAATAGGTTTAATACCTACAACCACAGAACCTCATTAGCTAGCTAAAGATGTTTGTTTTAAGGATAGTTTCAGGAGTAACAACAGAAGGATTACCACTAAGGATTACACAACAGCATGTCCTTAGCTCCCCCGATAATCAAGTTTGGAAAGGTCCATATTTTGAGAAGAAATCACAATTTTAGGACCTGTTAATTAATTACAAAGATGTATCAAATTGGGAAGGTAGTTCAGTAGGTAATTTATTGCACAAGCCTTCAGATCTCTGGACCCCAGACAAGTAGCACAAATGTATGTAATCTTCATCCTTTTAGAGGGAGCGGGAAGCTGGGAATTATGCTAGCCAGCCTAACATCCACAGCAACCAACAAGAGACGCTATCTCAAACAAGGAGAAAGGTAAAGACTGAGGACTTCCTTTGTCCTGCATACTTACACTATGGCATGCATGTGCTACCCCCAACACACACCCACACGTACGCACACATGCACACACGCAATTTTTTTTACAAAATTATCATTACCACAATAAATTACTAGAAGTCATTCAATGTCTTTGCAAGTAGGTAGTTTGTATCAAATGGTAAAAATTGGGGGTGGGGTAATAGCTCGATGGTTATAGCACTTGTCACACAAACATGAGAACTGGGGTTCAGATCCCCAGAACCCACATGAATGTCAAGTGGGAGAGGCAGGTCTGCCCTGCCTGTTAGTCCAGTCTCACAGGCAGAAACAGAATCCCAGAGTAAGATAAACAGTGAAATTAGCCAAATCAGGGAGCTCTGGGTGTGACTGAGACCCTGTCTCAATGAATAAGACCCTCAATCTTAGGTCTCTGCATGTAAGCAAACATACATGCAGATCAACACACAGGCACACATTCAGACAGACTGTGAAGAACAGCATATTGTAGGTGATTATGTAGGTAATTTTATTTGGATTGAATAAAAACAAGCAGACATTACTAGTGAGCTATTCAGCATATACACACTCTCACATCACCTCTTCCCCTCTTTGATTTAAAAAAAAAATCCTTGAATGATGATTAGACTATTGCCTTTGATTAAATCCACATAAATTTCAGGCACGAAAGAACAGTTTGTTCATGAGTCAAAATCAAACTTTTGGTTTGGGACTGTAGCCCAGTGACAGAGCTCTTGTTTAGTATTCTCAGATCCTAGACCAGCACCAGCAGCAAATGAAAACAGTAGGCGAGGGACAGCTCAGTGGTTAAGAATGCTTGTTATTCTTGAAGAGGACCCAGGTTTATTTCCAGGTACCCACATGGTGGCTTATAACCATGTGTAACTAGCTCCAGGTGATATGACTCTCTTCTTTGTTTTTTTGAGACAGTGTTTCTCTGTGTAACAGCCCAGGCTGTCGTGGAACTCAATCTGTAGACTAGGGCAGACTTGAACTCACAGAGACCTGCCTGTCTCTGCCTGGGATTAAAAGCATACACCACCATTGCCTGGTTGATGGGACTGCCTCTTCTGGCCTCTGAAGACATGAGGCATGCACAGGGTACACATATATATTATGTAAACACCAATGCATATAAAATAAAAATACATCTTAAAAAACAGAACCAGAAAGCTAGCTTTCATTACTCCAAGAAAATTATAGATACACCTCAACCTGCCATGGCTCTCTCTTGCTCCATCACCAGTCAAAAATACCTTTCGGTCAGACACTGTGGTGTTTAATCCCTACACTTGGGAGGCAAAGGCAGGAAGACAAGTTAAAGACCATCCAGTTAAGACACTACCCCCCCCCAAAAAAACAATTTTATGGGGCATTATGAAAGTAGAGGAGAAGGATCAGGAATTCTGAGTCATCCTAGACTTGAGTTTTAGACCATCCTGGGATGCATATTCATCAAAAATCTAATACCATTGCTTAGCCTAACCTCCCTTAAACACTCAGAATACTTCTATTAGCTCACTGTAGGGCAAAATCAAGTGACACAAACCCCACTTAAAATTAATGTGCTGAATATCTCATGTATAGATACCACTACCACCAACATCCACACACAAGTACATATAAATATCATGTTTTGTTTCTTATTTATTTTGGTTTTCCGAGACAGGGTTTCTCTGAGTAACAGCCCCAGCTCTCCTGAAACTAGCTCTGTAGACCAGACTGGCTTCAAACTCACAGAGATCCACCTGCCTCTGCCAGGATTAAAGGTGTGCACCACCACCACCCAGCCCATGCTGTTTCTTAAAGCTAGCTTTCAGAAACACAGTGTTCCATGAGTCTGACAGTATCTAAAAACTAATGATCACACCACAACAATTACTTCACCACTGCCTTCCCTACAGGTGATTTATTGCTAAAGTTTCTAACTTGAGGTGGTGACTAATTTTTATCTTCCTTGTATGGCAACACGAACACTTATAATGCATGAAATTTATCCAATCAGATTAACTCTACCATTAGATAAAAGAGACTTACATTATTTGTCCTCCAATGGTTGACTTTCCCGCATCTAAAAGGAACAATAAAAATATGGAAACATAGGTTAAAAACAACCAGTATATACAATATAACTACAAGGATTTTTTTTTTAGCATGTACAATCAAGTCTCACAAAAGCAAATGAACTGTATTGGGAATTTCAGGATTAAATTCTAGGGACCCTCTCCCATATATAATGAATAAGGCTAAGATTCCCCACAGGGCAATGATGACTGAGAAATACTTTCCTGATAAAGAAGGCATAATTTTATTGCTTTGTTTTGCTTTTTGAGACATGGTTTCTCTGTGTAACTCTGGCTGTCCTGGAACTCACTGAGTTTGTGGCCAGCCTGATCTACAAAAAGAGTTCCAACAGCCAGTGCTGCATCAAGAAGCCCTGTCTCGAAACAAGCAAGCAATGAAAGCACTTTATATGTGACCCTGCAGCCGACTCTCAGTGTGTACATGTGTACAGAGCATTTTAGATACTTCAAGATTCTGATTCAGTTTTACTCAACAACTCCAAGGCACTAAACAAGATGCTCTACACTTTGATGTCTCCAATAACTCTGGTTATTGTTTATGACATCTATGAGGACAACTTACCAACATGCCCAATGAATACTACATTTACATGTTCTTTCTTAGGAGCACCTGGCGGTGCCACCACCGACTTAGGTTTTGGTATTTCTTCTTCCTCCTCCATCATTTCTTGGGTATTTTCCTCTGGTGGCCTTCCATCTCCTGAGGAACCACCCTCTGGCTCTGCTTCACTTATTTCTTCTTTGTGCTCCCATGATTCTTCTGGGGACATTTCTGTCTCTCCATTTTCTACTGAAGAAAGATATTTTAATTTAGTATCTTGAAAAAGACCTGTTTGTACTTTAAACAGTCTTTTAAAGCAGCAAACACAAGTACTTGGGTTTCTCTTCTGACAGCCATGACACGGGCCTCATTGCTGATAGCAGAGAGTCAGAGCCTATTCCATAACACACAGCTACACAAGCATGGTGTCATTTTCCAAGGGCAGACTACATGTATGCAAGAGAGCCACTATTTCCAGCACCACCTATTTCAGTATTAAGATGTCCTGACAGTGAGCCGGGCGGTGGTGGCGCACGCCTTTAATCCCAGCACTCGGGAGGCAGAGGCAGGCGGATCTCTGTGAGTTCGAGGCCAGCCTGGTCTACAGAGTGAGTTCCAGGACAGCCTCCAATGCCACAGAGAAACCCTGTCTCGAAAAAACCAAAACCAAAAAAAAAAAAAAAAAAAAAGTCCAGACAGTGGAGGGGAGAAAGGGAAGTATAAAAACCAGAACGAGCTGGGCAGTGGTGGTGAATACATTTAATCCCAGCACTTGGGAGGCAGAGGCAAGTAGATCTCTGTGAATTCCACAGAGAAACTCTGTCTCAAAAACCCCCAAAAAATAAAACAAAAAACCAGAATGAGGGTGAAAGAATTTAGGAGATAAATTTTCTAAGGAAATAATAACTTTCGGCATTAATTTTAATAGTCACCTTGGAAATAGGAAAAATTTAAGAGTAATAAAGTTATTTTTAAAAGGATGGAAATTTTTATTGTTAGGCTAGGCATGATGGAATATGCCTGTAACCCCAGCACTCTGAAAGTAGAGGCAATAGAACAAGTCGTTCAAGGCTACAGATTCAGTCTCAAGAAACAAAGTCAAAGGAACAAGCACTGTGGTAAATTAGCTAGCATTCCTCTGCTCCATTCCACCTGCAGTCACTACTTCGTCTAGTCTGTTAAAATTCTAATATCAACAAAGCATAAACATAGACATTTCAGTCATCAAAACATGTACATCTGCACTTTAAATCTGCAGTTTCCTATTACTATATTAATAGTCAGAAATTCTTACCTACAGGTTCTGAAAGTTCCATGCTAACAGCTGAATTTGAACCTATAAAAAATTGAAACACAATACATATTCATAAAACAGTAACTTTACATAGCATAGACAATGTAATGTTTTCTTGGTTAGACATTAAAAAATTACCTTCACACAATGACTGTTCTTGAGAGGACTCCACAGGCACTGGTTAAGAAAAGTAAGTTCTATTAGAAATTAAGCTCTATCTTATTTTTTAACATACAATAAAGTAAGAGTAGAAGTTCAATAAACATATCACAAACCCCAGAAACTCAGAACAATGATAGCTAACTTGGGTTTTCTTTTCTATTCTTTTTTTTTTTTTTTTTTTTTTTTTTTGAGACACAGTTTCTTTGTATTGTTTTGGAGGCTGCCCGGGAACTCACTCTGTAGACTAGGCTGGCCTCGAACTCACAGAGATCCGCCTGCCTCTGCCTTCCCAGCGCTAGGATTAAAGGCGTGCGCCACCAACGCCCAGCTAACTTGGGTTTTTAAATCAGATGTCTGTTTAGCCTACTTTTAAAAACTATACCAATTGCAGACAACTAAAAAAAAAAAAAAAATCCAGGCACCAGCAAGGTGGTTCAGCAGGCAAAGAGCTCACTACTCAAACCTGGCAACTGAGTTCAATCCCTTGAGCTCAATAAAGATGGGAGGAGAAACCCAATTCCACAAAGCAGTCCTCTGGCCTCCACAAGTGTATCACAGCATATTCACACCTACATTTACACAAAATGGTAATTTAAAAACTCTACAGACAGCAGTCAACTTCCATGTGGAAATGTATTAAAAATGTTAGCCCTACTTTCCAAATCTTTACTCCACAGATATTATAAATATAACACAAAATCTAGAACAAATGTATTTATTCACTATGCCTCTTCTTTACTTCTCTTCTGATAATCCTCCAACCCAAGAAAGCTGAGACTGCAATGTTATCAAATCCCCCAAGTAATTTGATACTAAGAAAAATGGCTTCCACATGGAGGGATGCTCTCTCAGCCTGAATACACCGGGGAGGGCCTAGGCCCTGACCCGGATGATATGACAGACTTTGCATATCCGCCATGGAGGGGAAATATCTCTGGGAATCAGAGCGGAGGAGGGGGTGGGGATGGGGGTTGGTGGAGTTGGGGGGGTGGGGGGAGGGAGCTGGGATTGACATGTAAAGCAAGCTTGTTTCTAATTTGAATAAAACAAAACAAGATAAATGGCAATCATGTGAAGCCTCTGGAATACATAAACATATTCAGAAATGGTGACTTTTGCCCAATGTGATCCCAGCACTCAGGATCTCTGGGTTCAAGTCCACCCTTGTCTACATCACTAGTTCTGTAGTTCTGGTACAGACAGAGCTACATGGAGAAACCATGTCTCAAAATTATTATTTTGTGCCAGGTGGTGGTGGCACACGCCTTTAATCCCAGCACTCGGGAGGCAGAGGCAGGCAATCTCTGTGAGTTCAGGGCCGGGCTGGACCGATAGCCTCCAAAACAATAGAGAAACCCTGTCTTGTAAAAACCGGAAAAAAAAAGAAAAACTATTATTTTGTTTGTTGCAAGACAGACTGTCATGGAATTCACTCTATAGACCCAGTTGGCCTCTGTCTCCCAAGTGCTGGGATTAAAGGTGTGTGCTACCCATGGGCTCATAGGATTTCACAAACTCTGAACCAACAGCTAGGGAGCCTTAGTACAAAAGGAGGAGCTTAGTCCTACCTCAACTTGACATGTCACGCTTTGCTGACACCCATGGGAGGCCTGCCCCGTTCTGGGCAGAAGTAGAGGAGTGGATGGGGGGATGGCAATGGGAAGAGGGGGTGAAAGAAAGCTGTGATCAATATGTAAACTTAAAAAGAAAAAAGGTGTGTGCTACCACGCCTGACCAAAATTATTATGTATTTGCTTGTTATTTATTTTTGGTTTTCCAAGACAGGGTTTCTCTGTAGTTTCAAGTCTGTCCTGGAACTCACTCTGTAGACCAGGCTGGCCTGGAACTCACAGAGATCTGTCTGTCTCTGTCTCCCAGTGCTACCACTATCTGGCTTTTTTTTTTAAAGTGATTCTGATGAAGTCATTCTTCTTAGATTTCTAAGATCAAGCAACAGTTCTATGGCATCCCTGTAGAGCTATAGGAGAAATTTATATGCTGTTACCCAAATATGCAAGTCTGATCAAGAGATCTTTATCCCTGAACAGTACAAATGATACTGCTAAAGATTTTTCAAGATGTGGAAACACCAAAGGACTTAAAGTCATACGACATACAACATTAATAGTGAAATTGTAACCTACAAATCGCATCTTTAAAACTATTGCCCAGAATGCATTAACAAATACAGAATGAATACAGTAAAATGCATGTGGTAGCACATGCCTCTAATCCCAGAATTTGGGAGATAGAAGCAGGAGGATCAGTTCAGTTAATAAGCAAATCTAAAGCTAGCCTGGGTTACAGGAGATTGTGCTTGGGAAAAACAAACACCCTACCTTTAATGCCATCAAAAGTTCCTGTCCCTGATAAAGGGTAGTCAAGTTTACTATCACTATGACTACAACTATTGTTGTCTGTCAGCACTAGAGATCAAACCCAAGACCTAGTGCTTGCTAGGTGCTTATGTGTATGAATGTTTTGCCAGCATGCATGCATGTGCAGCACATGCCTGACTGTGGGATTCCCCTGGAACAAGGGTTATAGTCACCATGTGGCTGGCTGCTGGGAATTGAACCTGGGCCCTGTGCAAGAGCAACAGGGTCTGTCACTGAACCCGGGGCCCACTGATTAGACTAGACTGGCTAAACCAGCAAGCCCATTCTCTGCCATTCCCATGGTTGGGATTACAGGATGGACTACACTGGGCTTTTCATGTGTCCACTGGGGTTGATCTTGGGTCCTCATACTTGAGCAGCAGGTGCTTTTAGACTCAGCTCCAGGAGAATCATTTTAATTTGGGACACAACTGTTATATGTACAACAACTTCCCCCACATAGAATTATTTCATCTTTCAAGTAAATGCAAGTACGTTTCTAGATGTATGTGAGTAGACACACAGGTATGCACAGGGTGAGTGTAAAAGTTGGAGGAAAACCTCAGGTGTCATTCTCAGGAATGTCATCCACCTCCTTTGAGGTGGTGTCTCATTGGCTTGGAGCTATCTAGTGAGCCCCAAGGCTCTTCCTGTCAACACCTCCCCAGAGCTGGGGCTGCACATCTCACCATGCCCGGCATTTTTATGTGGTTTCTGGAGGGCTGAACTTGGGGCAACAAAGCAAACTGACTCAGTTACTCCCCAGACAGAATCAGTCCATTTGAAAATACTTCATAAAAGTGTGTTTCTGATTTGAGGCCAGCCTGGTCCATAGAGCAAGTTCTAGAACATCCAGGGCTGCACAGAGGAACCCTGCCTTGAAAAATAAAACAAAAAGGTGTGTTTCTGAAAATGGAGATATTACTGGAAAACTTGAAGCCTTAACTTCATTCCTTAGAATGCTCTCTAGCTGCTTTCAGGAGCAGATCTAAACAATGCAGGATTCAGGAAAGTAAACCCCAGTGCTTGTGTAACCATGAACCAACAAATGGACTCTGAATCTAGAAAAATTAAGTTCAAGCTTATTAGTAGCCAGTAGACTTTCTATATCATATACAGTATGAATAATACCAGAGTAGTATGAGTGATCCAAGATTTATTGCACATTTGGGACAACTGGGTATAAATATGTTTAAAGAACATTTTATGATTTATTCCAAAAACATTTAACCACCCCTTGCCATTAGGCTTTTGTGATCAAAGGTCTGAAAGTTTCATGGATAACTGTGGGAAGCTATGGCAACTTACATTGGAGTCCTTTAATCCCATCATTTCATGCATATTAAATACTACACTAATTCTGACACTTGATGCTTATGTTGGTTTGAAAGGAAATGACCCCCATAGGTTCATAGGGAGTGGGACTCTTAAGAGGTGTGGCCTTGTTGGAGGATGTGTGATTTATTCTTTTCCTGCTGTCTGCATATTCAGTTATAGAACTCTCAGCTCTTCTAGTGCCATGTCTGCCTGCCTATCTGCCTCTATGTCCCGCCATAATGATAATAGACTATACCTCTGAACTGTAAGCCAGCCCCCAGTGTTTTCCTTTATAAGAGTTGCCATGCTCATTGTGTCTCTTCACAGCAATGATGCACAGAATAAAGACAATGCTTTCTTGCCCTCTGTAAACGTCATGATGGTAAATGTCATAAACTGTAGAATAGCTTGAGAAATAAAACCATGTAAGGATTGGTGTTATGCTGTATTATTCAGCCATGGAGGCAGTCTCAAGACATACTTTCTTCTCCTAAGTAGTCCCCTACAGTCTCAGACACATAGTCTAAGTGTAAATAGTTAGTACTAGGACCTAAGTGGTCAAGCGCAAGGTACTGCTTGATTTTGAAATGCTCAGTTCCAGGCCAGCCTGATCTAACTGAGGAAAAAAACACACCCAACAACAACAACAACAAAATAGTTGACATTAGAGTAAATTACTACTACTCCCAATCCAAAATTTTATGGATTTGAGTCCCTGCCTGCCCATAATAGATACTTGGTAAATGTTAATTGATAGAATTGAGCTGCAGGTAATTTCCATTGACAGTGAAAAGTAACATCTGTTGAATTATCAATTAGGTGCCAGTATCTCATTCAATCCTCTCAGTATGCCTATCTTTTCAATACTCTAGTGAATAACTATACCTTATAACCAGTAGTTTAAAAAGCCAGTAAAATTTCAACCCAGGGGGCTGGAGAGATGGTTCAGAGGTTCAGAGCACTGGCTACTCTTCCAGAGGTCCTGAGTTCAACTCCCAGCAACCACGTGGTGGTTTACAACCATCTTTAATGAGATCTGGTGCCCTCTTCTGGTGTGCAGGAATACATGCAAATGCTGTATACATAATAAATAACTTAAAAATTTTTTGATCCAGAAATTCAGCTCAGTTTTAGGGTCCTACCATTGCTTTGTGACTACCTCCTTCCCAAGACAGAACAGCAAGGCCAGGTGTGGGAGTACACATCAGTAACTCCAGCCACACCAGAGGCTGCAGCAGGACTGAAAGCTCAAGGTCAGTCTCAGCCTTGAAAAAGAAAAGCAAAAAGGAAAGGCTGGCAAATGGCCCATCAGGAAAGGAC